TGTGGTCTTAAGAGAAAATACTACTCAGATGATTTACCGTCTTACGACACTCGCAGATTACTTCTGAGAGTGGAAGTGGGGTGTTCAGCAAATTCGTCCTTTTCGCCAGGATTACCTAAGGGGAAAATTAGTTCGACACTTCCATTCAGAAGCCTATCTAGAAGTAAACATATGCCACAGCGGAGGCTTCAGTTTTGCTAAGAGTGCTTTCTCCATGAGACAGTGGAAAAGGAAGCATCAGACCAAACATTTGATGCTTTTTTTTTGAAGAAGTAAAACCTAAAAAGGAGCTCTTGTGCAATAAAGACAAATGAACCTTAGTGGTGCCTTTGCCTATTCGTTGATTAACGGGACTTTGGTTTATTATGTTGAAAATCGAATACGTTTATTTCGAACACATTATTCCAAGTCTTAATGGTGAGTGTTAAATTTCGCACCATTGAGGGATGAGTGTGAAGATCTTCGAAAGTGCAGAGCTTTAGATTTCCTTTGGTAGTAAAATTTGAAAGGACAGTAGTGATGATCTCATGCAACTGAGAAACCAAAGTGAAGGTCTATGTTGCTGTTAATGAAATCCGGAACCTTTTCGTTTAATCTCAACTGAACGTTTTTTATGTGACAGAGTACGTGGCTTAGTTCGGCTTTCTTTTTAAGGAGCAAAAGAGTAAAGTGTGATGGAAGCCACGCAAAAAGAGACGGTCTCCTCTGCGACTACTTATGTGTTAGTAATGAAAACGATGACGCACTTATGTTTCTGTTTATCTGAATGTCATTCCATGACCAATTGATGATTCTATGGATGAATTAAGAATGAATCACAACTTCTATAGGATTTTAAGGTTTCGTATTCAGTTAAAGAAATATTTCTTTCGTCAAATATTCCCTTGAATCCATTGTCTTTTAAAATGTAACTTCTGTTCTTAACGACCACTTAAGCTTATCACTAGATCTTTCGTTTATTTCTAAACGCTTACAATGTTTCTTAGTAGCTCTACTGACGTAGCATGTGTCACGAAGAAAAACAATCTCATGCGAAACCCACATATTCGCTCTTCTTCTGATGATTCAGCGGTCACCATTGATAAAAGTAAATCTGTTCAATATAAAGAAGATCTTTTTATATCGTTTCCTTATTGCTTTCACTTTATTGATTTTTTCGCTTCTTGCATTGCTAGTCCCTTTATTTTTCAACTTAGAAATAAAGTATTAAAATTATTTACAGTATGATTGGCGTAGATTTTGTAGTGATATTTTTTAATATCTTTTTTCATTCTAAATTTTCGTAACGAAACCTTTTTTCATGATTTTAGATACCCTTTAATAACGTGTATTCTTCCTCTGGTGAGCTTACACGAGGTTGATAAACAGTTTAATTCGGCTAACGTTTCGACGTCTTCGTCTTCTTCAGAGCCGATGATACGTGTCCATGGTCCACGGTTCTTCTTCTTCTCGGTATCGATTCTTCGTGTGAACTTTTGGTTATGACTAGTGTTCTATCAGTTATGCTACTACATCTTAATCTTTCTGGCTGTTTTCTATTTTCTTTTTGATGGTTTTTATTGCATCATTATCCTCGTTTCATTACTTATTCTTCCTCTATGGAGATGAGTTGCTGATAAAAGTTTTGAGCGATTCATTATCAGTACGGACGCCCATTCGCCAAGATTTATCTATTTTCCACTCAATAAGTGGTTTTTTGTTATTACCAACCATAAGAGCTAAAAACAAGAGCTGTTGGCGTTGATCAATCCCCGAGGGATGCGCCATGCATTCGACTTCATTAAGAATCGTTTGGAGGTGATTGAATGCATATCTGGTCTTTACAATGGCTCGCGGTGGCCTGCCGATGTGTGTAGCCAGTGCTGCTATCCTAGGAGACAAGTCTGGTACTAACTTCTACTAACTTTCCGACCCAGGAGAGATGGAAGGGTTGGTGGGCTATGGAAATGTAAAATGCAGGTTTTTTTGAAACTATTTCTCTTGCTCAAGGCTGCTCGCTTTCTAGAACATTCACGCGTTGTGTTTATATAAATTGTCTTTGATATTTGCATAGTTTCCCACTTTTCTTTATTTCATTGTTTTTCCTCTATTTGGGCGTTTAGGATTGAAAAAGAAAGAAGAAGAGGAGATTCAGAAAGTTCTTCGTACGAATCAAACATAGGTAAGGCGCTGTGGTAACGTCCACGAATGTCAGTGTCGCATTTCTTCAGAGAACCATCAAGTTCCGTATATGAAGTAGTCGAAAGTTTCTTTGTGGAGACGAGACAATCGAGATTGGAAGAGCTATCCAGGGCAACCAGCTGCTACCAATGATAACTTTTTGGAAAACAAGGGGAGGAAATCGGTGCGCAACAGTTTGAGAGCTTTTGGAATAAGTAGGAGCAAGTAGTAGAAGAGTTTTAGAACACCTCAAGCAAGATAGAAGGTCAAGAACACTTGCGAAGTGGATGTCAAATCAACAAATCAAGTGCAAAGCGGTCTACTCGTCATCCATAGTGGTGTGGTTTGTGCATCTTCTACGGAGCAAAAATCACAGAACAATCGATGACGTTGTGCATAAAATCAGGCAAAGATGAAGTGCTGATATACTTTTTGAAGCGAAATGTTCCTAACAATATTCAGGTTCCTCGGTGGAAGGGTATGATGACATTTTTTCGTTCTCGGCTGATGGAACCCTTTACCTAAGGCATTCAATAGACAGGGTGAATATTGTTAGGAACTCAAGAAAACCCTTCAGGATTTTAATGCCTCCGGATCGATATTGGTGAATCGAAAACGATTAATTCTGCACGAAGGCAAAGCATAGCCACACATCATGGAGGTTACGTTGTGCCTATTTAAAATGTTGAAATATGATTTCCTTCTCATCTGGTTCACTCACAGGCAGTTTTCCAACTGAGTGCCATCTTCTTGAAACATCTCAACGAATACAGATAATTAAAATCGCCAATAACTAAACCGTTCGTGAAAGCCGTTGTAAAGGATTCGAAGGATTTGAAGGATTCGTAGGATTTTCCATCGCCTCAGGGAATCGCCATTCATTGTGAAGCAATGTGAAGTTTACTGTTTTTCGGCTCAGATTCCAGTAAGGCGACAGTAGTTTCGAAGATCGTAACGAATTCTGCAACTGTTCGACTTAAGGTTTGTGTAAGCTCCTGCATTGTGACATTTGTGATGGTGTGTATTCGTCAGTACTTATTCCATTCCACAATGTGTTAAAAGTGCAAAATAAAAACAAGTAAACACACAATGAAGTAAATAAAACCTGGCAGAATGAACAAACTTCCTAGGTAATGAACTTGTTCAAATCGATTCCTTATCGCAGTGTATTTGCTTGGCGGAACGAGACCACGCTGCCATCGTTCGCTAAAGAAGACACAATCGTCATTTTCTTGCCAGTTTTTTCTGTGGCAAACAGTTCTTCAAGTTTTAAATTCTATTCACTGCTTGTTTTTTTTCATGGCGGGATACTATGTGAAGTATAACCACGAGAATGTCAAACATGAGCAAAAGTGGAAATCTCAGATGAACTTCGAAACCACGATCAACTTTACTGGACCCTCACGTCTTGCCCGTCGCACCAACCAAGCTCCATCATTTGTCATCCCCGGGTTTTTTTTTACTTGAACAGCCCTATCGGCAATAATTCGTCAACAGGAATCATCTCGGGAGCACAAATCTACATTGAACGAGGTCATATCTGTTGATGAGTGATTGGTTATGGCACCACTAGAGTAAAAACATGGTTGAGAGAGAAGCAAAACAAGGGCCTCGGCTGGTGTGGTGGATCGGACGTGAGCGAGCAGTAAGAGTAATCGCGGATTCGGAAGTCATTTCAAGTCTCAAGTTTTGCTTGTATCTATCATTCTTGTGGCAGTACTTCAAATGTTCAGATTTCATTTGCCATACTCACCTATCCCTAATATGGAGGAATTTTTGGTTGCTTACCAAAAAACGATCTCGATCGATTTTTTAAAGGCATTTCCTAAAATTGTCTAAATAGTCTAATATTTGTGATTTTCGTCCATCTAGTTCCGTAATGTCCAAATTTTTTATTCACTTCTAGTCCTTTTGCTCGTGTCAGTGATGTGTGATGTACGCACATATCATATATCACCTGTATCACCTGTAATGCCGTCAATCATTCTGTCTTTAGATCGAACAACAGCGCTGTTCTCATTGTTCCCTGTCCGGTGCTAACGGCATTCTATTGAGCTCATGTAGTGAAGGATACTCATCTGTTTTTATGACTCCTTTATGTACTACCGCGATGCTACCTCGTAGTATGCAGAGCTCAAACAAAGGAGAAATAAGGGTTTATTTGTGGAAGGCTCCTCCGACCGAAAGTTAATCCTTTATATGCTACTACTGGATTGCATGGTTTTAGCCAAATCAACATGCGAGGTAGAATCCGTGTTTTCCCAAGCAGCACTGGTGCGTTAAAATATGATTATACTGTAAGTACGTAGTAAATTCTATTACGAAAGGTATATGCTAGTTGACGCTAATTTGTAAGGGAAACTTATGCTATAGATCTACCCGAGTCTCAATGAGAGTATTTGATCGTTTTTGGTCTTTTGAGTTCCCTGTACCTCATGAAGTAGGACTCTCAAGGTTACATCGGTTTTCACTAGCACGGGGCCTTTCCTTCTTAGAGCATATCTACCAACTAAAGAAGTTCACGGATGCCAAAGAGAACCACTAATAACGTGTGAGAACCTTTTATGATGTACTTTAACTTAAACAATGAATTTTTCATGTTATTTTTGTACTAATACATTCTGGATTGAACGCTAGTAGTTTCGTGTGTTCAAGGTACATATTTGTCGACTATAGCTGTAGTCGAGTCATTGCATGTTGTCACTTTAACGTTTAATATTTCGGGTTATTTTGATTTTTTTTAGACGTACTAGAAGTTTAGAAGTAGTCAAGTGGGTAGGCGTTTCTGTTGGCTGACTGGTTGTTTATCGGTCGGGACATCGGCGGTTATATCTGGTCGGATGGACGTATGGCGAACGGATTATTGGTTACCGCGAGGTGTCAACTGGGATGAACTACCTGTGAACTTCTCCGATCTGCTCTATCCGATCTATTTCTCTTTACCTCTCATCGTATTCAGGTAACGCATTCTAACCCTTTGCTATGAGTCTGCACCTTTACTCGACTTTGCAACATAAGTTAGAGGTTATTCATTGTTAGCCTAGTGCTCATGCAGTTGTTGCTTGTTATATTCTTCAGCTAAGCCACTGCAGTACCCCATCGTGTAAATAAATGAGTATGTAGTGATAGTAATGACTCAGTGCTTCAAATGAAGAGCAATGTGGTTTTATCAAAGGAGAGTCACTTTTCTTTTGTGAATGAATGATCGGGAATGACAGTATATTCTTGAAGTGAATTAGAATTCATCAAATTCATCGATGTTAACAACGAGCTACTGTCGGAGCTGCCTCAAAATGGTTTACCGCCTCTTGGTGGCTGGGAGGTGTTCCTGGGTACCGGACTGCGATGTACAGCAATGGAATCACCACCCAGTAGGGTTTCCTAAGCTGGGAAGGAGTCCGGCGTTTCCGTCAGGAAAATTAGATAAGAGTACACCAATACCAGGATCCACCACCATCCTGGTATCAAAGTCGCATGGTGGTTAATCTCTCTCTGATCCACAAGGGCTGCAACTGCTCATGGTGCTGAGGACGTGGGGTAGACTTTGGTCAGGCTGACCTCGGGACTCAAGAGAACCATAATGGCTTAACCAGCAAATCTCCGAAAAGTGGGGATTATGCTGGGGTCCGCACAACCGGTGAGGATGGACCATTCAAGTATCAAGTAATTATCAGGAACAACGAGCTTATCAGAACGTCTGGTTGAGCTGGATAGTGTGTCTACACTCTCGCTTATGATTGCTGCCACTGATTAGAGCTTATGCAGGTTAGATAATGCCACCTGAGTATGTACTATCTGAAAATATAAAAGTTTCAGTTTTTTACAGTCTTGAACCCAGTACTGATGACAGAAATTTGAAAAAAAAACCATTTTCAGGATCTTTTTTGAGTCTTTCGTTGGTGTTCCACTCGGTTTTGCCCTCGGATACTATGGAAACGTGTCACTTATTCGGACGGTTGGTTGCTAATCAACTTGAATTACATACTGTACTGAATAAGAGGCCATGTTTGGTTACATGTAAAAATTCCGGATAGCATTTAGAAATGAGAAAAGAGGATGGGGTAAGGAACGCTGATCACTAAAACGTTATCGACAACTTGATAAGGAGTGCTGATCGCTAAAGCAGTATTGATCGGATTGTCATTGACTACTGCTGGTGATGTATAGTGGGCGATCGTCGAGTGACTATCACATTGCGTTCGTTTGTTGCAAGGGACGCAAAAAAAGGAGACTGGAGATCGACTGTGATTCGTTGCTAACAATGATTCCTTATCTCAACACAGTATTCTTATGTGGACGGGTTTAAGATTCTGAATCAACGATGTTATCTGTTCGCCAAAACAGCTGCTGAATTTGCTTTTAGTGTTAATGCAGGTGTCTAGCACTGTCTACGAATAATCAGAAAATAATCCTCGTACCATCCCTACAGGCATTCTTATCACGATTTCTTAAAAGTTTACATTTTTGACAACATACGTTTCCCTTACATTGGTATTATGGTCAGCTAATTTGGTACCACCGCCTCTTTTAAGGACAGTGGTTAGTTCTTTTTTTTGCGATGTTGGTCTTCGTAGTCACATCGAATCCAGTCGAGTCGATTTAAGCACCATATGAAAGAGAAGTGAACACTTTTGGGAACGGCCTTTTATACCGTGTGGTTCTTGACTGATCTTATATCTAGGATTATTTGTTTTCATGGAGGCAGTTCATCATGCAGAGGTCAGAACTATGATAATTGCTATATAGCGAAGCAATTTCTTGAAAACTAACAGTTATTTAACCTCGACATAATTAATCAATATCATATTTCATTGAAACGCTGTCATGGAGTCGTATTTTATCAAAACTGTTATTACTTCGAAATTTTAGATTTTTGACCATTTAAATGGTGGATTTGCTCGACAGACGCGTTCTAAACGAGTACTCGAATGCTTCTGGAGATTCAGCTACTATACATTTTCCTTCGCCTATGGATGCATGGTGTTGTGGGACAAATCGTGGTTATGGGACGTCAAGCAGTGCTGGATTGGATATCCATTTCACACGATTGACAAAAGCATATGGTTAGTGGGTAGTTTCCTGAGTAGATCTAGTCGTGAGTGCTTTAATCTGGACAGTTCGTCCTTATCATTGAACTCGAGGCGGCGGAACTGTTTGAGTGGTTGATCTGGGTGGTGCATAGAGTATTTGAAAGTTTTAAGCTGTACATATAAGGGATGAGTGTTTTGCTTTAATAGAACCACAATGTTGCAGAGATATTTGCAAAACCTAGACCCAAAGCCCTATTCGATTACCAATTACTTTTTCCGCGGTTGATATGCTACACTCTGCATCAGTGAGGCCTTTGCTTTGCCTTTCTCTCAGCCAGTTTTTTATCCTAAGGGTGCCATTGGTAATTACCAGTCAACAGGAATAATCTGGGGAGCACAAATCGGCAATGAACCCAGATGCTGAGGCTATAGTCGGGATCACAGTGCATAGCTTTTTATTTACTAATTATTACTTTTTGATGACAGGGTATTAATTTCAATACTCAGCCTCTTTTTGCTATCTTTTTTTTCTGCTGTCTCAGTTCTAGAAATATCTCAGCATCCACTATGATGCTGAGATATTTGCAAAACTCAGGCCCCAGGCCAAATCACACCACAATTATCACTTCCGTGTGCTCACGTGTTACGCACGACACCACTGACGTCCTAGATTTTGAGCTGAAACGTAAGCACCCGGAAAGGGTAGTCTCAGTGCGATCTGGTATGTGGTCTAAGTTTGCAAGTGTCTCAACTTCATAGTGGTTTCATTTCACATCATACCCTGCTGTGAAAAATAATAATAATAAGCAGTAAATGAAAAGTCATCGCTTCCATCGATTTGCTATCTTTTTGCCTATTCAGCACACGTCGTAGTTGCAATAATCAGACTATAGTTTTTTATAATTATAGTTATCTTTTTGAGCACCATAGCAAAAAATTGATTTCGTGTATCTATAAGCCCCTAAATCTGGTTCTACAAAAAAAAAACAACGTTGGTTTTATGATTTTTTGAAGCACAAGTAGTTTGTAGTGTATGATTGCTTGGCCTAAATAGGTTTGGATATCGATACGTATCGTCAGTAATGTACTGCAGGTGGTACTATATGGTTGAGACGTCGTTCTATTACTCGCTAGTGCTCGCTTCTTTTTTCGATGTCAGGCGATCCGATTTCTGGCAACTAATGGTTCATCACATCGTCACAATCGGTCTTCTCTCTAGCAGCTTTACTATCAATTTCGTTAGGTCTGTGCTTGTTAAATAGTTATTGTCAAACTAGACGATATTGAATAAAGGATAGCGGGAAGCGCAATGTCTATGCTCACTGGTTCAACCTCTGACCGGACCAGTCAACTAATCAAGCTCCATCCTTCAGACTTAGGAAAGTAAGTAACAAACTTGTCTCAGGAAAGTTTCCGTCGATTATGGCGGTCAACGGCTGCAAGCGGGTAAGGATATGATGACGATCGACTAGAGGTATTTCGAGGTCTCATGGAGAATAAACTCGATAGTATTAAGCGACATTCGCGATAAATAAAAAAATTCTCATCTAGCAAAGGAAATCAAGAAAAGTCGGATCCTTGTGAATGAAGGATGCAGGAAAATGAGCCGAAAGAAGGAAGTTGAGAGGTTATTACAACATGTTACAATACAACCCGAGCATGTAGACCCAGGCTGCTTCATTTTTCCAAAGTTGTCTTCTTATTAAATATGTTATTGGAAGTTTTTTCTCATATTGGTTTCACTTTTAGAGTTGGAACACTTGTGCTGATCTCACATGATATTGCTGATATCATACTAGAATTCGGTAAACTTACACGATACGATAGAAATCTGAAGAATGCGACGAATATTTGCTTCGTTGTATTCTTGACTTCGTGAGTTATAGTATTCGTTATTCGTGTACATCGCTTATAATCCTATTTTAAGTATTAACTGAACTCTAACAAGTTCTTTGTTCAACGTTACTTCTCATCTACTTCGCCATGTGGGCATAGCTCAAGAGTTATAAACAGAAGGCATCACATTTTTTATGTGTCTTTTCTTGTTGGTACTGCTTTTGGCGAGGGAATACTAGTGGTGCAGACTGACAGTTAGCATAGTTGGCTGAAACTTGTTGGATTCCTTCTAAGTATGATCCACCGCTGATGAAGTTCCGAATCCATTCATTGAATCGTCTTGAAAACTACGTGGTTCACCTTTGATCAGCGTCCAATTCATTTTTTTACCGCTTGCGCACGCTCTACGTGTTTTCGAAAATAGCCAATGCTATACACCCTAGGTGGAAGACCGTTACTTCTTATAGTATCTTCAAAATCATGCTTGATTTTGTTCTTCTAAAGTTCGTAATGTTTTCTTTTAATGCTCAAATTGCCGAGCTAATAATGGTTTTAGCCATATTTCGTTTTAAGAAGATGTTGATCCAATGTAGCGAAAAATATCTTTTGCAGATGGATTGTTACTCGTCTAGGCTACTATCCGTTTGTTATTGTTCGATCAGCGCTATTAGATGCAGCCAGCTTAATCCAACCTGACTACGAGTTGCTGAATCCTACGCAAGTTGGTTTTTAACCAACTTTCTCACAGAAATATTATAAGCTTACATAAAGCTAAAAAAGGACAAAGGTCTCAGAGTTGATCAATCCTTGAGGAATGCGGCATGCATTCGACTTCATTAAGCATCGTTTGGAGGTGATCGAATCTGACGTTATCTGACGTTTACAATGGATCACGGTGGCCTACCAATGTATCGAGCCAGTGCTGCTATCCTCCAGGGCAAGTCTTGCACCAATTTGCCGACTCTGGAGGGATCGAGCGCTTAGTGGGCCAGGGGAGCGGGAATCGATTCCAGGTTTGTGTTACAGGGTGCCTCCGACCACTGCGCCACACGCGTCTTGGTTAAATAGTATTAATATTTCCTATGCGCCACTTAGTGGCATTCGAGTATGGCATACTGATTGGAGATGCTCTGCAGCGCAAACGTCGTCGTTAGTTCTATCTCGTGCGGTAGGCTAACTAAGCTTGCCATTCCTATAGGGTCGCAAAATTGGTCTTCCACTTGTTCAGAATGATGAAAAGCACTGACTTGATAGCCCGGACACAAAAACGCTGGCAAAGTTGTTGTATAAGCGCTGCATCCCTCAGCATTCAACGCCGAACGCTTCATCCTTTATTGAGCGCTACTTTTCGTTGCTGTATGTTCTCTTCACAATTTCTTGGATTTTCTCATAGGAGTATCTTTCATCGGCTTTAATTTTTTTGCATATTGTGAGGCTTTCCAACACTTCTTTCCTTTCCTAGTACGATTTCCTTAGGAAATATTCATTTAGATCCACCTCCTGGCTGTCTACGTTTGATGTTGATTTGTTAGATTAGTTGTTCTGTGGTGGCGTGAGAGTGGTGTAGAAACAACTTTTCTGTCTATGTTTTCAAGAAATATTAAGATTTAGGCGTCAATGGTTTATAATTTTCAGGTACCATATGCTCCACGCGTTATTATTCTTATGCTGTTCACATTGTTGATTCTTCACATTTTCTGGACCGTCATCATTATGAAAATTGTTGTGAAAACTGTCACCTATGGGGAAGCTGGCGATGTTCGATCCGATTCCGAAGCTTCTGAAACTGATGAATCCCAGAAGTTGGTCAAGGTGCGTTTTCTCGTTATTTCCCATTGCCATGATTTTCGATCTTACTTGATTTAGCTACGATTTTTCGTAATAGTTATAGTTATGGCAGCTGGACAAAGTAGCACAGAATTATTGGTTTGCGACTGGTGACGGACCTTTTTTAATGGCAATTTTAATCCATAAATTGAATGGGAACAATTAAATTGTGCTAAACTGTGCTGCGTAGACTTTGTTTTGTAGCAAAACAACAAAAGATCGTTTTGGAAGAGAAGAGCGTCGCAGAAACATCCGAACCACGATGACAGTAACAGCGACAGTGTGCCGACAAAAAATGGAGTACAACGAAAGCGTCTTTGGAAAGAGTGACATCATTGAAGTTTACTGTAGGCGCCCAGTCAGCGTCCTATCGGCCTTTTGTTGTTGTACTTTTGAGCAGATGGTCACAGTTTGAACTTTGAAGATTCCTTACGTTTGTAGTACATTCCATTAAACTGTGAATATGCCTAATGCTTAGTAATAATCGAATGCTTAATAGTCGAAGAAAGTGATAATGTGAATAATGCTAACTTCGTATTTACTGTCTATTACAATTTTTCAAGGCAGGCTATTATATGTGATACAACCACAGTGGTGCTGAGATATTTGCAAAACTCCGGACCGCAGGTGTCTGAAGTGGGGAACGAACGCGTAATTACCCTTTCCAGGGGCTAACGCGTTCACCACCACACCATGCGGCTCCTTCGTTTTTCCTGTCTCTGAGCTAGTTCTATCGATCTTTTGCCATTAGCAATCACTCGTAAACGGGACTAATCAATGGAGCCCAAATCGGCAATGAACCCACTTAAGCTGAGGCTGTAGTCGAAACCACAATGTTAATTTTTTATTTACTGCTTAATACAGTTTTTTAATTTAAGCTCCTCAGATCAATCCGGTTTACGGGTGATTTCTAATGGCACTAGTGGATGGAAAAGTAGCTAAGGCTTTTAAAAAACGCCCTTAGCTAAGAGAACGGTGAAACGAGGTACCCGCATGGTGTTTTGTTGAACGGATTAGCCCCCAGAAAGGGTAACAGCGCGTTCATTCTCCACCGCAGACGTCTGCGGTCCGGAGTTTTGCAAATATCTCCAGTACCAATGTGAATAATCTTTTTTCATCTGCATGCTTTTCTATATGCTTAGGTAGTATAGTTTCTTCGACGTCAACAAATTAGTGTCTTTGATTCCCTCCGATCAAGTGTTGACACCTCAGCAGTTTCAACTTATGATTTTTGTTTACAACAGTTTACCATGGCACTTTGTGCACATCGCAACACATCTTGCATAGGATTAATTTTCTTGTATCTATCGTCCAGAAAGATCTTCGATATTGTGTTTTGCTTCGGCTTCTGCTTGAACATTTCTCATTCGAGCCGATCTTCTTTGGAATCCTGAAATTACCATGCTAGAGGGTTTTTACATGGATTGGAGGACTTAGTTGATCCCAGACATTTATGGCTCCAATTTCTGGAGTTTGAAAGGGTGAGAATTGTGGGAGTGAAAGAGAGAGCGTCGGAAGCGTGTACACCGCTTACAATGAGTTTTCTTTATTAAAGTCAAGGTTATAGAAATATTTTGCTATTGTACAGAATGTTGCTGTACGATGTCCATCTTTTTGCTGTGAATCATAAGTCTGTGAACTCTGTGAACTGAATCATGTGTTTGCATGGAAACGAATTGGGTTTGCCGTACCTTACTCGAGTTATTCGATGAACAATGCATGATTATTTGTGTGTTCCCCACCACAGACACCTGCGGTCAAGAGTTTTGCAAATATCTCAGCATCATCTTGGTTGTATTCCACATGATACACTGCCGTGAAAAATTGTATTAGGCAGCAAATAAAAAGGTCAAGATTGTGATTTCAACTCTAGCCTCAGCTTAACTGGGTTTAATGCCGATTTGGGCACCCCAGATCAATCCCGTTGACGGGTGATTGCTGATGGCAAAAGATCGATAAAACTAGCTGAGAGACAGGCGAAACGAAGGATCCGCATGGTGTGGCTGTGAACGCATTAGTCCCCGGAAAGGGTAACAGCGCGTTCGTTCTCCACCGCAGACACTTGCGGTCCGCAGTTCTGCAAATATCTCAGTACATCTTATATCTTGGTTGTGTTAAACTCAATGATTCCTAGTCGCAGCCCCAGTTGTTATTAAGATCACGACATGAGGCCTGCCACAATGCTTAAATCGAATCACTTCCATGTAAGAAGGATGCAAGGTAGAAAACGAATCTTAAACGTAGGGTGGGCAGAACTCGTAAAGACAGGGCCTAATTTGAAGGCAGACTTCAAAAATTTGAGTTGTCGATCTTGGGAAGGGAAAGAGTTTTTTCAAGTCTAACTGATGCGTTATTTCTATAATTACACAAACAAAAGCAATATTCTTTGTGATTTTAGGCTTTGACGGAATTTGAGAACTGTTTAGCAGAGTAATCAGAGTCACATTCTTCTAGCTTGAAATCATATTTCTGGGACATTTGGAATTGATGATTTGACGATGCTCCTTCGTGTTCATTAAGTTTGTTTTGTATGGATATTTAGAATTGGAATTTCTTAAAGTTGGAAATTATGGTAAAAAATACCCTTTTCAAAATGCCGAAACAAACCAACTTATTCACTTCAAATTAGCAAGATGTGAGGAACGACAGTCACAGATGGCGTGCATTACACGTACTATACCGCCTTGGTTCGAAGATAGCCCATGGCAACCGAGCTCGCTTCATGGTCGGCAAATTAGTAACAGGCTTGTTCAAGATAAATGTGTTTGTACCACAGGGGCTGTTGAGCATCAGTGTTGAAGACTCGAAGTGGACGAGTTGTCCGTTCTGACGTTATAAAATGCCTCCAAACGCGATTTTCGCGCGGTTTTCGCTATTTCCAGCCGGCTGTCATCCTGTCACAAATCCAATGGCACTCTTAGATGGACAACGCAAGGTAGACGAACGAAAAACAAAGGTGCTAGGATCAGTAGACTGTGATTGAATGTCACAAATAATCATCAGTAGTACTGAAATAAGCCGAGATAGTTCTTGGAAGATTTATTCCAATAATGCATGAAAATAAGTCGCCGATAGTATACCTTGTCCATTAAAAGGCTCTAGTACTACCAAGAACATAGCCCAATGTTTCCATTGCAATTGTTTGGACCAGCCGGGCAAGCACCGCACACTGCACCTATGGTGTAAATACTCCATCCAATCACGTTCACTCTAAAGTAGTATAATAATTTCAGGAATCTAACGTAAATATCAATCTGTAAAAGTCTTACGGAGCTCGGTACATGCACGATGTGAAGTAAAACCCATTGCAGACTTGTGTTGCACAACCAACATATTTGTTTGTTCCCCAGATAACCTGCAATAGATAGCAAAGTAACAAGCCACGTAAGTAGCTAATTGTTTTACAAGAGTGTACATCAAATTCTAATAAAAGGATAAAAAATAAAGCTCTCAGATGTGATCAATCCTTGGGGATGCGCCATGCATTCGACTTTATTAAGTATTGTTAAGGGTGGATGAGTGCATATCTGATCTATAGATGGCACCGATTTGCACACTCTGGAGGAATGAAAGGCTTGCTGAACCTGGGTCGAAAAGTCGATCCCGTGTGCACTGCAGGGTGCCTCTAAGAACTGATCAAAGCAATTTCCACTAGCAAAAAAGGGTTTTCTTCTACAAAAAATAACTGCAGTTACAAGCCAATGAGGCAGTACGACATATCATTAGCTGTCTTTAATAAATTAAATGCGATTCTACCACAGTGAGCAGCAGTGACTGTTGCTGCTGGTGCACTTATGAAGCGAAAAAAATGCACTCCTCAAATAAAAGTACAAACCTTCGAGACCCTGGTCATCGGCCTAGACGTACGTTGGCTAAGGTCAGCAGTAAATATCATGTTCGAAGGAATACCATTTGATGTGAGTTCACGCATAAACGTTGCAATTGCCTGACGTTGGGAAGAATAGAGGCAAGGAAAGTGGTTATTTCAGGAACATCATATTAAGTGTCATAATGCCTTGAACGTGGATGCGTATTTGGGAATAGCCTTTAATATCCTACATTCTGAATAGCACCTAAGGCATCGGTAGCTGTTGTTGCGAGGATATGAATGTTTTCTTGGTAACCAGGTCGAGCCGCAGGTGAAGATTCTCTTCTATCACAGGATCTCACGTGGTTATGAGCGAATGCCTCCGCAGTGCAGTCATATTCCTGAATGAATAAAACGTACGAGATTAAATGCGATAAAAATTCAATAGCAGAAAAAAAAACTCGGTACCCTACCAGCAAGTCCATTCGTGAAGACGGTGGAGCAAACTCGCCAGGATGCTCAGCGTTTACTGCTCGACCTCTTGCAACTAGGGATCTAAATAACTACATTTCACTTTCAGTGAGACAACGATTCCTACGTATATTTCATCAGTCATAAAAACTTAGTCAAAAATTTTTTACTAGCTTTAATAATAGTCGGGAAAAAAACTTTGTTTGCACAAGAAGAATATCGAGAACTCAGGGAACACACCTGAAATTATTATGCATTCCCAAAGCGGTCTCCCTGAAAGCAGAGCTGAACGCCGTGCTTGGACATTCCGTGCTTCTTTTCCTAGTTGTTGTTGTGGCTGTGGTCGCGGTTGTTCTTGTTGTTGATGATGTTGTTGGAGGTAAGACTGTTGGTGTTATCATTGTTGTAGCTGGTCTTGCAGCGTTCACGCAAAGACCAGAATCACAAAAGGCTGGAGCGAATGCAATACATTCGTCGTCATTTTGACATGGATTTCCAGTCGTGTACACTAATGTCCCAGGTTGCGCATTACTGAAGTTGTGTGTTAGAGGCCTTTGTAGATTACTCAAAAGTGTTTTATTTTATTTAACTCACGGTTGTGAGAAGACACATGCAGCTGCAGCGCGATTACCACATGCAGTGCTGGCGCAACCAACATCAGTTGTTGTTGCACGAATCAACTAAAAATGTCCTACAATAAAACTGATCTTCACAATTCTTTAATGGGTGTTCCAACATTAGCGAAATAAAGCAAAGCTGGATTTCCATTGTAGATATTGTTAGCTGGCCACATCATGCTTGTAATATCGGTCCAGTCGAGAATTGCAAACTCAATGGCATTGTCCATTGGTGCTCCTGGACCGAAGCTAAATTTTTAAACCAGAAAATAGAAGAATTAAAAAGAAAGAACATTTACTACTTATGTTGTATTCAAGCTCACGCAAGATAATTCATCCCGTTTGTCACTGATGCTGGAGGTGGATTTTGAGGGCAGTTTACAACAGCTGTTTGAGCCATCGTCTCCAAGTCGCAGTCCCATCTCTTGAACACCGAACATTTATGATTGCGCTTTAACTCACAGAAATTTTTGTAAGAAAGATGTTATTTTTAAAAACCTCATAGATTTTTTTATGCTTTTCCTTTACGAAAGTGTAAATTCGTATTACCGAAATAGGAAAAATTCACCAATTTGTTCATATCATTTGCAGACTGCAGGAATTCCGCTGCTTGAAATTGACCCAACGCAACTTGTGAGCGTATTCTATTAATCAAGTTGAGAGCTCCCTGTCTAGTTTGATCGGTCATAGTCATTCCTTGGCACCCAAATGCTTGAATGAACAGCTTTTGCACCTTGTATTTTTAACACAAAATCAACAATATTCTTTCACTCTAACGAAGATTAAGGAAGGACAAATTATGTACACTCACGCATTTCAAATCCACCACTGGAAAGACCAAAAGCAAACAGCTGAAATATTTAGCAGTGAAATACGAAAGGCAAATGATGCAAACGTTTACTAACCGCTGCGCAAAATGCCAATAGTGTTAAATGGAACATTTCGGGAGGCACACGGTATCCAACACCCGTGAATCGTTCCTTTTAAATGTTTATGACATTGCACTTTCTTTGAAATATTCATATTGAGTTCTATTGTTGTGTTTTAAACAAAGAATAATCTACCTAGAATGTAAATCCGGCAAATGTCGAGTGTCTGCTGCATTTTATCAAAACACAGAGGATTTGTTTTAAATACGAAAGGAAACAGCAGGAGATGAAATCATTCTCGTATTCGTACTTATCGATTAAAGAGATATGTTCATTTCAAAATGGCAGCTCCACAGTATAATTTTTTATTTTTTTATTTGATCCGCCTTCATGTCTACCGTGCGGGTTCCAGCACTTCTCACATCCAATTCGTTTCTTCGCATCCACTAACCACGAAGAACTTCCAAGTTTTCACGTGTGGTTTCGCTTGCTGCTTGAGGATTTTCATTTCATCTTAAATGTCGTAGAATACTGGGCGAGCAATTCTCACTAGAGTTCTGAGATAGCCGGACTGGAGAGTTCCTAATTGGATTGCAGAGAGTGGTTTTATCCTCAGACAAGTCCGGTACCAAGTTTTTCATTATCACCTGATAAGCCCAATTATCTGGTCATCCTTAAGTGAAGCGTAGTTTACAGAAAGCACCAATGCAATTGTTGGAATTTGAGTAGGATTGAAAAAGAAAATGTATAGGAGATGGGGCATTTCTGAATGCTGAGAGCAAAATATCCAAAAATTTTCTTTGTATGTTCAAAATTTCACTGAGACGAAGTAAAAAGATGTCCAGTGGAAAATTTCGATCTTATGCAATCATACTCAAAGTTAGAGATCTGCTCCGAACATGGTGAGGTCTGCGATGCCCATTCTGATTTCTTAAACTTGACTCCATCTATGAATGCATATGAGTGCCGTGAGCGATGAGTATTCCAGCCCGTCGTTTCCGTTGTCTTCCGGGAGCGCGGTTACCTGCATTCTCTTGGGATCCACCTCACTATTATTTCCGTTTATCTGCCATTTGATGTTTTTATTATGTGGTCACTACAGTGCAACAACAAACAGTTCAGGCGACGTAGTGTCGCCTTGTCGAACCCTTTTTGTATGGGTATGGCAAGCGGTTATTGGAAAAGCTCTTTATTTATGCTGCAGCTTAGACAACAGTGCTAACGTTCTTATAGAGGAAGAGTCTACCTCTTGGTCGACGAGTGCTCATATGATCGCATTGGTTTCGACGCTGTCAAACCTTTTTCGCACTGGGTTAGGAAAGGAAGAATATGGTCCTTCTTAAGAGCTCTATGACTCATAACACAGTTTGGATGTCGTCCATGTAGTGGAATCCCTTTCGGTATTCCTCTTGCCCAACTCATCTAAAGCCTTCGATGAGCTCAAAAAATCTTTGTTAGCAGCTTGTAGACGCAGTCAAGAAGCATACTTGATGGTCGCCATGAAAATATTTTGCTCACTATTCTTTGGCAGGATGACCACGCACAAAGTCCTCCACTGGACTGGGATTTTTTCTTGCTGAATGTCATGTAGGTCGGAGTCGTGCCTTTTTTATGCTTTATATCTCAATACGAACCCAAAAAAAATTTCAGGTAGTGTTCTCCAACGAGAATTTTAGAGTCTTAGGGAGGAGGTCGTGAAACGAAAAAAACTGATGCTGAAGTCTTCCGTCATTAATCTGATATCACGCAGGGATGTGGTGACAGTTCTATTTCCGTCTATTAGAGTTGATAGCGAAACATAATAGCGGCAATGATCCTGACGGCACTTTTTATAAAGAAAACAGAAGCACTCGAGCAGTTATCCAACCCACAAGTGAAATTGATGATGGATGCGTCATGTAAAAATTTTGAATTATCGTTTTCTATTTTTCATAACTAAAAGGACCTCGGACATCACTTAATGAGCGGAACTATCCATTTAGCAAATCCATGTCATCGAGAGATGACGGAGTCGTATCTTCTTTCAGCACTACTAGAAGAGGAACATATTCGTAAAAATCTTTAAAATAAACATATAAAATAGCACTTTCTTTCAAGTTAGAGCAATTCTTGTGGTAATAGCATTATACATATCATAAAAGCTTTTGCCGGTCTTATTTTGAGCACGCACTACTCAGACTTGGCAAATAGTTTCTATATATACGATGCGTATCAGTGCATGCATGCGTGGATGTGTTCATGTTTGTGCGGATTGAATTCTGCTCGTCAATTTGGCCAAAAACCTGCAGTCAAGTGAAAGGGAAATATATTGGAGGCGCTTAGGAGCCGCCACCAACAAATAAGCTCCATGTCCGCCATGGGAGAGCATGGCAAGCTATCCGTGAGTATAACCAGCCCCCACGTTCAGAGCCCAGCAAGTTATACGTGGGTATCAAAACGCTAGACACAGTAAAGGAAGCGGATCTCATTTCCTTGAACTCGTTGGGTAGGACAAGTACGGAGAGGTTGCTAAGATCTCAGGGCCAATGCATGCTGTGTAGATCGCAAAGGATGACGATCCGTATATACAAAGCACGCACACTTGCATCCGAGTCCTCGATAAAATAAAGTAACACCTCGCGCTTGCTCAACAAGAATTTGAAGAACTACTCGATAAGAGCGTGATCACGCAAAAGGATAAGGTACGACGTTATCGGATTCGGAGTGACCAAGACGAGATGGTGTCACCCATTCAACGCCTTGTAGGGCCGCAGAACTATTCCTCGAAACATGCGAGAGTAGAGGAGTCATCGACGTCGACTTTCTCCAACACGAGTTTGTCCATGAACATTAGTTCATGCAATCAACTAAAGACCCGAATCGAACGTTTACTATTGAATAGGTGTGGATCAATACAGGCTTTTGCAATCGCCTTTGTTTACGCGCCTACATTAAACTGCTTACTAACTTGCCTGGAGTCCTCGACGGCCCGTTCCTACTGGTTGTGCGGGACCCAGCATATTCTCCACTTATCGGAATTGAGCTGGTTTAGCCACTGTGTTTCCTTAGAGTCCCGAGGTCAACCTGGCCAAAGCCTGCCCCAGGTCGTTACCACTACGGGCAGCCGCCGCCCTTGTCGATCACTGGTAGATTTGCCACCACGCGAATAATTTGATACCAGGACGGTGGTGGAACCTGGTATTAGTATACTCTTAGTTGGGCTTCCTAAGAGAAAAGCAGGACTCCTTCTCACCTTGGCAGACCCCGCCGGGAGATGAATCTCCCTGCAGAAAATGGCGGCCCGTCACCTAAGGAAACATCCCAGCTACGATGAGGCGGGAAACCGCTGGGAGGACATCAAACTGAGACGAAAAAAACTCAAAGCGTTCTGTATGGTCTTGGAGAAGTTATATAGAACAAACCATACAATCAATGTTTTTCTTCAATAAGCAGACACGAGGTTGTTAATATAGAATTTATTAGAATACAATAGCTGATGTTTCGGCGGTTTTGCCTTCTTCAGAGCCGTTTATTTGCTGTAAGTATTTAAGTTAGTTGATGGATAGCCGCCGCACAGATCAGTTATCGACCATGTATCACTCTGTGCGGCGGCTATCCATCAACTAACTTAAATACTTACTACTTACTACTTAAATACTTACAGCAAATAAACGGCTCTGAAGAAGGCAAAACCGCCGAAACATCAGCTATTGTATTCTAATAAATTCTATATTAACAATCTCGTGTCTGCTTATTGAAGAAAATCATTGAATTATCAATTAATGCCGAGGTTAACAGAAAGTCGGTCTTGGGAAGACCATACCTTCTTCAAGATCATCATTGGAGATTTTGTCGCTAAGACTTGATCAAGAAGAACGTCACATTGGCACCCGCAGATTAGAGTGGAACGAACAGGGTGAGCTGCACTCGGAGTTCATCATGGCGAACAAGACTACATGGTAACGCGCATTTCTAAGATCCTCACCCTCAACACTGGACGTGAGAGTTTCCCAGTGGAGAATACCATAACGAAATAGAACACATCATAGTAAATAGAAGATTTTGCCTTAAACAGAAGGTTTTGCCTAACTGAGGCCGCTGTTGTCTTAAAATTCTACACAAGGCCAGACCATCGACACCTTTGTGCAAGATTCTATTTCTCGCGGAAAGAAGAAAAAGCCGCTGAATTCAAAAGACCAAGTCCTAAAACCACCATAAACTGGGACTTATTCAATTCATTAGTCGGCTGTTGGGAAGATGCCGTTGTCGATACCATCGACTAGAAATACCACCATTCAATATCCTCATGTTGGCTGTATGAAAGCTGTGTTCGAAAGTCACCAAGAGACGTCTGTGCCCAGAAACATTCGAACCGATACGCTAGAGTGGAATCGCACAAGCTGTAAGAAACCGTGAACTGATATCCGAACTTGCAAAACAATGCAGACAGACGATAAAATAAGATCTTAAAGAGAGAAGAGCAACACTAATGGTCGAAGCTGCAGAGGCTGGGAAAAGCATTCGCAGAGCCCACCGAAGTTTCGCCTATTACAAGAGCAAAATGATTGCACTCCGACGCCCAGACGGAACAGTTACAGCGTCCAGAAAGGCATTGGAGAAAATCATTCACGAATACTGCTCGGATCTCTTCGATAGCCACGTCCACCTTCGGTCATATGAAATAAAGTATTATGGATATGTTGTACCACCGGTTCTCCCTTCCGAAATCCGACATGCCGTTTCGTCGGTAAAAATCGAACAGCCGTCTGGTCCAGACAGGATAAAACCAGAACACCTGAAGAGCCTTCCACCAGTCCTCGTTAACAAACTAGCTTGGCTCTTCAAACGTTACCTCTCTGAATGCAAGGTCCCTACTCAGTTGAAGACCAGCAACGCCGTGTTATTGTTCAAGGGCGACCTGCACGATATCGGCGACTATCGCCCAAGTTGCTTACTGTCTGTCGTCTACAAACTTCTCACTCGAGTCATCCTACACAGGACTGACAGAACACTAGACGAAGGACAGCCATGTGACCAAGCATGGTTTTGAAAAGGATTCAGTATGATTGACCACATCTAAACGGTAAACAGTCCTACTGAAGCATCGCGAGAGTGCAAAAGACCACTCCGTCTCGCTTTCATCGATTCTAAGAAGCCCTTTGACTCAATCGAGGTAGAAACAGTCATAGAAGCCTTGGACAGTCAGGAAGTCTCTACTCAGTAAACAAAGATCCTTTATGAGCTGTACGAAAATTTTACAATCAAGATGTCACCATTCTACAAGAAAATTAATTAATATCGATGTTAAACATTTAGGCAAGACGACATTTAACCAAAAGTATTTAGCGCCACACCCCTCGAGAACATAATGAGAACATTGGAGTGAAAATCAATCGTCGGCAAACACACCAATTTCGCTTTGCTGATGACAACGTTCTCATAACACAAAACATTAGCGAAGCGGAATGAATGCTTGCCGACTTTTATGAAGCCTTTGGAAAAATCGGCCTTCAACTAAATCTCACAAAAACGATGTTCATGAGGAACGGATTGGTTACGCATGTCCCATTCATGCTCAACGGAACGAATGTCTTTGAATGCTCCAGTTATATCTGTTTAGGTCGGGAAATCAGTATAATGAACGACTTATCTCCAGAGTTGAGCAGAAGGAAACGTGCGGCTTGGGGAGCTCTCAAGAGTAACGAGGATGTAGTGAAGAGAACAAAGAACACCCAACTCCGTACCCACCTTTTCGGCTCAACGGTACTTCCTGCCTTGACACATGCGTCGGAATCCCGGTTACTGCGTAAAGAGGATAAAAGAACACTTACCGTTATTAAGCGCGTTATCGAAAAGACGTTGCCCACAATTAATGCAAGGGTTCTAAAACTCCGACCTTCGTCAACGATCAAAGATGAAAAATGCCATTCTGTACGACAAACAGTCGAAGATAAGGTGGCCTGGACCGTTAGTTACTAGATTCCGCGAAATGTCAAACGCGCTGCAGGAACATCACCGATCCGATTTTCAGAGTTCTTCACGAAATGTTTAGAAGGAAGGTATGGTGCTCAACGAGTTTCTAGAGGAAGGAGAACCCACTAGGGTACTCTTGCACGCGACAGGGAAAAGTGTAAGAATTACTAGTGCCCGCTGGAGTCACCAGGTGATGAACGGAACTACAGTTGATACAGGTGGTGGAGCGTTCAGAGGTGTTGTGGACCCAACCTCAACTTTTTTTTATATTTGCAACGATGATTGTGGTGTGGTTTAAATATTCTATTTCAACAGTTGAGGCGTTTTCGAAAAATTCAGCAATTTCTTTACCGTTAGATGTTTCAGAAACCGACCTACTTTCAACTTCGGTATGGGTAACCAACATGTGCTTATATTACTCAGCTTACACAAAGTTTAGTTAAGCTTTTATTCGGCTAACGTTTCGCCGTCTTCTTCTTCCTTAGAGCCGACAATCCGAGCCGATGTACACATTTCTTTGCACGCTAATGTGGTCTCATCATCATCGTATCGAGTCAAATCTTCGTCACTGGGGCATCGCTCGAACGAGCCAACCTCACTCTAGGATGTTCTTTTATACAGGACGAGTGTTGCTAATGTGTCTGTCTGGTGATAATAACTTGTTTTTCTTGTGCAAACCGTGCTGCAAAAATCTGCATCATTGCCAGCTAGCAGAGATCGTAACAATACTTCAAAAACTAGAAATAATGCAGAGGACTAAAAAGTGCTGCTTCCTGTTTCACTCTTTTTTCAAATTTCCCTTTATCAGGCTTCTTTTCAACGGTCGTGAAAATGCAATTCTAACGCCTGTTACCTTCGAATCTCAACATCTCACAGTACCCCGCATTCATGGCAAGAAATGGTTAAACGTTAGCAATATAAACACTATTGAGTGGGCATTTTGGAAGTTGCAGAAGAAGAAGCAAACTGCATTCTATGCTTAGATCCATGGACAACGGTAAACTTCAAATGACTTGCCGGACCGCATGTCTGAGTGAAGCTCCAAAATTGGCATGTTCTATTATTATCATTATCGTATTATTTGGATTGTTTAAATGTTTCAGAATTTCATCTAGTGCTGACTATTTGCGATGAGACAAATCCGGCTGTTTTAAATAAAATACTGCTCTGTGGCTAATTTCGTTTGGTTTATACTGTAAACAGATTATTCGTGTTGTGATCGAAAACAGTGAAAACGAATTTGAATCACTCAGGAAAGTCTAAAAACCCAAACGTTTGTTCGAAACAATTTCACTGTACCTTAGACATTTTATACCTCTTAGAATATTTAAGGCAGTAGTGGTTTTCTGTGAACTCATTAGTGAATATTTGAATGTCAGCTAGTACTTTTCAGGATTTGATAGTAGATCTCAGAAAAATTTAGTGCTTTCATATAGATTTAAAATTTGAATTTTACATTTAATAATTTAGATATTGGTAGGACAATTCAAGTTGCCGCAATTTAATCTTCACAGTAGCAACTATGGTGCGTAGGTGTGTTCGATGCTTTCGACTTTCGTTATTTTCCTTTCACTTCTCTTCTTTTTTCCTTCTTCTTCTTCTTCTCTCTTTCTTCTTCTATTTTCGAAATTTCACTTTAATTACAATGACCAGCTATGCTTTTCCAAGATAAAATAGGAAATTTTTTGGTCTGATTAAACTGCTTCACTTACAAGTTGGATTTGCTATTAATCTATTATCTTTCCTGGTTGCTAACGCGTTCAACCCCACACCATACGCATCCTTCTTTTCCCCTTTCTCTCAGCTAGTTTTCTATCTACCAGTGCCGTCAGCAATCATCGTCAACAGGATTGATCTGTGAAGCTCATATCGGCATTGAATCCAGCCAAGCTGAAAATGCAGTCGAAATCACAACGCAAACCTTTTTATTTACTGCCTACTACAATTTTCACGGTAGGGTATTATGCGGAATACACTATAGTGATGCTGAGATATTTGCGAAACTCTATGTGGGAGGTGTAAGTGGGGGGGGGGGGGGGGGGGGGGGGGGGGGGTGCGGTGGAAGACGCTATTAATCTACTACCCTTCCATGTTGCTAACGCGCTCACCACCGCACCATAAGCGTCCTTCTTTTCGCTTTCCTCTTAGCTAGTTTTCTATTCTGGCAGTAACCTCAGCCTAACTAGGTTCAATGCCGATATTGTCTCTCCAGGTCAATTCCGTTAACGGGTGATTACTGATGGCACCGATCGATAGAAATAGCTGAGGGGCAGGCGAAGCGAAAGACCCGTATGGTGTAGTGGTGAACTCTGCTTCATCTTCTGCATTACAGTGTGCAATTTGCAAATTACAGTTTATATAAATTGATTTCTCCAATGAAAGGACCCGTTGATAGCTATAACAATACTCATTATGATCACTGAATATGAGGACTGCATTCTGGTAGCAGTAAGTCTTATTGAAACGCAAATCGCAATCAAATCTTAGCGTTTTGCGTGCAAATCCGTGCAAAAAATACAAGAAATGCAGTTCGTTTTCAGTTTCACTGCTTAAATTTTTTAAATGATTTTTTCTGAGCAGAGGCGCGTGTGGCGCAGTGGTTGGAGGTGCCACTGCGACACACGCTTGGAATCGAGCCCCGCGCCCATGGCCCACCAAGCCTTCAATCTCTGCGGGGTCGGCAAATTAGTAGCAGATTTATCTGGGAGGATAGCAACACTGGCTCGAAGTCGAATGCATAGCGCATCCCTCAGGGATTGATCAACCTGAGAGCTTTATCCTTTTATCCTTTCTTATGTAATTTGTTTAACGTTTTAAGGTCATTCACATCGACGCCATATAACGCAAACGCTTCAGCTGTAGACGTCACACAAGTAATGGTAAAATGACGTGGACTGGCTCACGAAGAAGTTTTGAGACGATGCTTTTCTTTCAACAGTTTTCGTTGAAATCCTGAAATCTCCGTTTAAAGAAGACTACCTCGATTTTTCTCTTCAAAATTCAAGCTTCAGAAACAGGCGATCTGCTTGGGGATCTTTAAAAATTCTCAGACTGTCAGAAAAATCAGGTATATACAGTGGCCTTTGTTCACAACAATATTAAACGCAAACACTGAATGATTTATCGGCAGCGTTAAACAAGCTTTTTAAATACCTCAGGTGATGATGAGAAAACGACATTACAAGCTCCGAACTTAGAAACATAACAGAGGCACTGGCGCCAGACACCGTATGCAGCTGTTGACTGAAAACTAAATTATTCTTTTGCTCGGTTAATACGTTTATTATGGAGAATTTAATGCAATAGTGACTGTAAACACTGAAAAAATTTTATAGGAGACAGTTTAATTCAGCAGACTACAAAATTTTACCTAGTTTACACTATAAACAGTTTATTTCCATTCTGACTTAACTGTCGCCGAACTGTTTTTGAAACTGAAGGAGTACAAAATCACCATGGTTTAAAAGGAAGAGTTCGCAGGCATTGGACACCACATGTCTCCTGCAATGTTCCTCTTAACACTGCTACTGCTTTGTGGAACGGTCAGTGAACGGTTGCCTCATTTCTCTTGTATATTTTAGTAAATATATTAAAAATATTTTAGTTATTCCAACCTGGTCATCTTAGTGGTGGATTTGAAATGCGTAAGTGTGCAAATTTTTAGATATTCAGGGATTGGTTATACCAACAACGTTGTACTCTTGCTATTTTAACAAAACAGCTAAGCGCTGCCTGTTTCAGCATTTGGATGCGGTGGAATGACCATGAGCGACCAAACTAGACAGGGTGCCCTGAATTTGATCAACAGAATCCGTTCACGAGTCGCGCTCGGTGAATTTCAGGCCAAGGACTACTTGTCGTCTGCAAACGACATGGAAGCAATGGTAAATTTTCTTCTACATTTGAGCCTTGTAACTTTGCGCTAGCAAAACTTGGAAAGACGTTAACTTTCGATAGCAATGGCGAAATAGTAAAATTCCTATTCACCATTAACGAATGCTCGACTAATGCTGAGCGTTGCAGAGATGGCATTGCGATCTGGAGACGATGGCTCGGACAGCCGTGCTGAATTGCAGCCAAGATCCACCACCAGTTAAGGCTGAGAACGCAATGAATTATCGGTTGTGAGTTTTAGAAAACAATATCAACGTTAAAGATCCCAGAGTGATTTTCTATTGTCCTCGGGATTAATCAATATTTCAATGCATTTTATAAGCAAACAAAAGATGGTATTACACCATTTATTTACAATAGTTGACAATTTCGTATGTTAGTCTCTTAAAGCCTCGAAAGGTCAAACTGATACGCAATCTTTCAGTCAAACACGTTCATAACTTTAGCAGAAAAACTCAGTTTTTAAATTCCAATCACATGGGAGACAGCCTCCTTTGAATCCTCATTATCTTGTTCCTAATAAGTCTTACAGTTATTGATGGCGACGAGGCAGGCAGGGTCTTACATGAGTGAAGAATGTCCTTGGCCCTGGTAGGGAAACCGGCCATGGGTTTGAGGCAAAGTGACGCGCGATCACGTGCCACCCCTTTCTGCAGTTCATTTCCTTATTGGTGAGATTTATCCAGAATACCTCCAGGGTTAAACGCGTTTAAGATCTAGTCACCTTGGCAACTTTAAATTCAAAATCTTTCCCGTTATGTCTCTGAGTCGTACGCGCATCTAGTGGAGTATTTTGTTTCACTCTAAGTTTACCGACAATATGTTTTTTTTACAGATACACTGTGGTTTACTTGTCTAGCCAATCTATTAAAAAAAAGCTCTCGGCGTTTAGAATCGCTGAGACAACGGTCGGAGTACACAAATTTTACCAGAAAAAAACTAAAAAAAGACTGGATTCCATTCTTGAACCTTCGAACTAATAAAAAGTAGTTGTGTCACCAAATGACACCAAAATCAAAGTGATAAAACACTTTTAAATAGTTAAGCTGACTCATTAACTCTCTTCTCGTCCTTCCCATACAGAAAGGGTGTTTGTTAGAAACATTTTCCAAATAGCTACCGGTGTATACGCAGGAGGAAAGCGGAAGGCAGAATTTCTGAAAATGAAGCGGTAAATAGCCATTTTTAGTGCTACGAACTGGTAGTTGTTCTAGTTATGTTTAGCGAAAAAAACCACGGTCTAAGAATGTGTTGGGCTAAAATAAACTAGCGTTTATGCTGCCCATCATTTCTAACGAAGTAAGTAGGACTATGAAACGTTCTTTAAAAAGGAATGGTTTAGAAAATTCACTAACAAATGGCACTGAAAAGTCTAAGACGCCAGCTAGTTTGTAACTGCTTGTGTGATCGTCTGTTCAAAAAGCAAATTGCATAATATGCTCTAACGGTAGAAATAGCGATGACATGAGTTCGCGTACACTATACCTGATCTCTTGCAAAGCGTGTGGGGCGAATGCTTTGGTGAAACCAGACCACTCTGCAACCATGTAAAAGGGAGTATGGATGACACCCTTAAAGTCAATGAGAGCACACTACTAAACAACTTAGAATGCGAAGCAATAATGGACAAGATTTTGAAACAGAATTCACTGCAACCACAAGAATTCTGAGATATGGGCAAAAATCGGAGTCTTAAATGGGCTTCGAAGCTACGATTACCATTTCAGGTGGCTCACGTAATATTCTTTTCATTAAAAGATCCTTTCTTTCGTTCGTTTTTTTCTCAGTCAGTTTTTTCTCTAACGGTGTCATCAGCGATCACCCTTCAACGGAAATGCCACTTTCTTTGGGCGGAAATCTAAGGTAACAGAGCAGAAACGGCTGGACCAGCTTGGAAGAATTCTAGAAGTCCAAAAAGAAACCACAGGGATAAGTGACTCTTGGACCCACGTGACTCTACTCCATCCTTAGGCCAATTTTTTAACCAGAGTCGGGACATTCGCTGCCTATGTTAGACCTTGTGCCGTTGGTCTGCACCAGTAACTGCAAGAATTCTAAAGTTCAAAGCGGAGAGTACATTCTTTCACTGAGAAGTTAACAGGAAGTCCCCTGACCGAACATTCGGCTACCGTTTCGACTTTTTCAGAGTCGATAATCCGTTTCTGTTGACTATAGCCGCTCGCCCTCGCAATGTAGGCTTTTCGTCATCACGTGAAGTCGAATCTTCTTCGGTGGAGGAAGTGTCAGTTCTTGAATGGGGAAAACAATGTGTTTGAAAGAAACTGCTTTCCATGTGATTAAAATTTAAGATTAAAAAAGTTCAAGTATTTAAATTTCCTGCTGAAGTTGCCAAAGTGTTTATCTGAGTAGATTACGGTCCCGTTTGAAGCTCCCAGACTCTGATGAAGGCGAGGCAGCAAAAACGTCAGCTATTGTGAATAAGTAGTGTAAAAACAAGCCCAGTTCTGCTCAATGAGAAAGTAATGGATGGAGTTAAGACTAATGACTAGTCGCATTCTTAAGGCTACTACTACTTCTCAATTCACCGTCTTCGAGAATCATTTTAGTTTCGATTCTGACACATCTGTCTTCACTCGCAGTCATTCCATTGAATCAGCCATCTTGCAATGGGCAGATATAAAAAACGTGAAGTGGCCAGCTAACAATATCTTCGCTGGAAGCCAAACGTTGCTTAGTTTTGCAAACGTAAGATCACTTCGTGCGAGTGCTTGTTCACTAACATTACTGCAAGTTGAAGTTTGCTTAAAAGTTTCAACTTAAAATTAAAACGTAGACTTTAGCTGATTCGTGCAACAACGAATGCTGTTGGCTGCGCTAGCAGCACGTGTGACGACCGGACGGCAGCTGCATGTGTCTTCTCGCTGCCGTAAGTAGCACAAAGCTTGAGAAGAAAAAAACAACGCTTACAACATTATTTCAGAAATGTACAAGCTGGCACGATATTGTACACTTCAGGAAGCCCTTGTCGAAATGATGATGAATGCTTCGCATTTTTTCCAGCACATTGTGAATCTGGACTTTGTGTAAACGCTTTGAGGGTAACTACAACAACAGCACCCACAAAAACGTCGAATGTACCATTGACAACAATGTCGAATAGGCCATGGACAACAGGGTCAAGCGTGCCATCAACAACAACGTCGAAGGGACCATGGGCAACTACGTCGAATGGGCCATGGACAACAGGGTCAAGCGTGCCATCAACAACAACGTCGAAGGGACCATGGACAACAGGGTCTAATGTGCCATCAACAACAACGTCGAATGGACCATGGACAACAGGGTCTAATGTGCCATCAACAACAACGTCGAATGGACCATGGACAACAGGGTCTAATGTGCCATCAACAACAACGTCGAAGGGACCATGGACAACTACGTCGAATGGGCCATGGACAACAGGGTCAAGCGTGCCACCAACAACAACGTCGAATGGACCATGGACAACAGGGTCTAATGTGCCATCAACAACAACGTCGAAGGGACCATGGACAACAGGGTCTAATGTGCCATCAACAACAACGTCGAAGGGACCATGGACAACAGGGTCAAGCGTGCCACCAACAACAACGTCGGATGGGCCATGGACAACGGGGTCAAATTTGCCATCAACAACAACGTCGAAGGGACCATGGACAACTACGTCGAATGGGCCATGGACAACGGGGTCAAATTTGCCATCAACAACAACGTCGAAGGGACCATGGACAACAGGGTCAAGCGTGCCACCAACAACAACGTCGAATGGTCCATGGACAACAGGGTCTAATGTGCCATCAACAACAACGTCGAAGGGACCATGGATAACTGCGTCGGATGAACCACCGGCAGCTACGTCTAACAGACCGTGGTCGACAACTACAATGAACACAGACCATGACTTCACCCAAATAAAAAACAACAAAACTATGTAGAGGTTTTAATAGCGCCACCTCTTTTAAACAATGAGAAGAGACCGTTTTTTAAAGAAGGCTGTTCAAAGGATGTTAACAAATGAATTTTTATCTTACTGATTTCTTGTTTTTCTTGATGATTTACCCCATCATCCTGACAAAACCCTAGTTAAACTTAATCAAATAGCATTTCTCCAGAGGTGCACACGATTAGCCAAGATCAAACGACGCCAGTGAAGTGGGTTACTCAGTTGTCACCAATGAACAGAATTTCAGCACTCGTAGTGGTTCCTTAATGTTGTTGCCCCCACAAGGCATAGGAAGTGGTGGATGTACAGAGAACTGAAGTAAAAAATTAACAATGAGTTGAGATAGTACACTATCTAAGGGAATTTCGCCACATACTCTTCGAATACCTTGTAATAACATGATAACATAAGAGGAAATCTGTAGATCTTTAAGGTCGGACCGACCTCTCAAGGATACCAATATGAGTTTAGATCCTCTGCTTTCGAATCGTGAAAACACAAACATGCGCGTAATATGAAAAAAACTTCATATGTGATACAAACTTACATACGTCAAGCAAATACTCTTTGACACTTTGATAGAAATATGTCTTTTACGGTGAGGTGAACTACTGGAAGGAGGACAACTTCTTCAGGATTGGCTGACTGTTCACGAAGAAAACGTTTCGGCACGAGATCTCACGAAGTACAGTTTAACTACTCCATGAGGCGGATGCCAACCCTTTCTAACTTGCTTCATTTCGTTTGTTGACAACGATTTTTTCCAGGAGTCATATTTTTAAAGAATTTTGTGAAAGAAGCTCTTAAGGAACGCCACTACGTTGCGAAACAGTTGGCCAACGACCACATGATACCGAGCGGTAAACGATTATCACCACTTCCTTTCCAAAATGGCTATCTAAAAATATTCATGTTCTAGAAATAACTGCGACTGACGCTGTGTCTGACGAGTGTCTTTAGTATATGCGGTGCGAGTATTCAATCTATTGCAATCGTGCGGCTATCCTTGAAAATTTGAAGTTCGAAAAGGTTAAGTTGAAAAGACTTCCTTATAAATTTTCAACATAAATCTACCCCATTTTATCCTTTTTCATAGGTTGTGAACACTTTCCTTGTATCAAGCTTAAGAATCTTCCTGCTGCAGTTGATTGCCACACTACTTCACGTGACCAAAAGCAAAGCGCTCGACATTGCAGTCATAATCCTTAAGAAACGTTATAACTTAGAAGTATAAAGAAAACATTAATGTTTCCGAAACGAGTGACTCAGAAGCTGACGTTTTGCTATGTTGGTTGTTAGGGATATCTCCTAAAATTATTGTTCTCTCACACAATTAATTTTTTCGTTTCCATTCATCCTGCAATCACTGGTTCACAGCATTATTCGAGTGTACTCAAAGAATATGATTTTCCATCATGAATGGTATTTAGGTCTACAGTAGCTAGGAATAGAAATAAAACGGTAACCATTGTAATCAAAGTTTGTATTCCTAATAAGGGAACCTGTGGGGCTTCTCCCTACTAAAGCAGCCGTCTTTCCTTGTGATAGAAATGCAAGATCCACCAAATTTTGCAGATTACATGGTAAACGAATAGAAACGTGGATTATGAATTTCAAAAATGCAACGAATTTTCTACATATAGCCAGATCTGTAAGGCTTCATCAACTCAATGCCCTCATGAGGTGTTTGATAGTGAATCGTTTTGCTTTAGGGTAAATATGGTCAGAGAGAACATCTGCGAAGTTGACTCATTGTGCAGTGGATATCCTAAAAATTGTTCCATGCTTGAAAAACTTTGCCCCATGAGAACGCCACTAATATAGTAAATATATTTAATTTCTGGTATTAGTAAAATAAACTCTCAAGTACAAAGAAGCCAAATTTATTAGAGGTAGATGGCAAATTCCTACTAAACGATGTGAAAAGGACGATACAGAATAAAGCGTTTGGCGTTGATAAATCCCTAAACGGTGCACTCTGCATTCAACTCCATTCGTAGCATAATAGTTGATTTAAAGCATATTTGACCAGTGAAATAACTTGTGGTGGCCGACAGAGGAAAGAATAACTATGCACGGCAATACTATACCTATCTGCTTGAATATTTGAATGGCCCGTCCTCGCTGGTTGTGTGGGTTCCAGCATAACCTCCATTTTTTGGAGATTTGCTGGTTAAGACATTGTGGTTTCTTGGAATCCCGAGGTCAGCCTGGCCAAAGTCTGCCTCAGGATGCACGGAAATACAAAGTAAAATTTCCCCACAGGGTCCCATTTGTGGTTCCAACATCTGCTTGTCTTACTTGTTATTTTTTTCTCGATACAAACAAAGGAAACGAGCAGAAACATGCCGGCAAAAGCTCATACACTCTCCTTACTATAATAAATGCTACTTAAAAACGTGGAAAATCCTCAACGTTTCTGTAAACATCTGAAAATATGCGTCGCCGACAGGCAAACCTCGTTATTTTGAAGGTGGTTATGGGTAAAACAAATAGATAAAAGCCTGAATTCCTTCCACTCTCTTGAAGTTAAGGACTCTCTAGTCTTGTTAAAGGAACATTGTCAATAATATTTTGGTTCAGTCAAAAAATGTTAATGAAAAACCGCCATTTCAAAAATCTGTTAAGGTGTGCCTCCGTTATAATTAATTAATCTACAAAAATATGGAAGAAAACTGCGTGGTCAACAAGGACTCGGCTGTAGAACTGTTTAAAACCATTAGTGACTTTTAGCCTGAACACTACAGCAAAATACGAACATCTACATCTGTTATAATTAGTAAATCTACAAAAATATAGATCTTAAAAAATATTGGAATGCGACCGACTTTCTGTGGACTATCGACTCGGATCGATCCGGTTCTGAAAAAGACGAAGACGTCGAAATGCTTTTACAGCGGCTTCGTGAGCTCAATGTCACAGAAAAATTTTGAGTTGTTAGTCGTTTACCTCAAAGTTTAGATGAAGATCGAAGTATCAACGTCGTCTTAGTTCAGTAATCGAAAAAAAAATTTGAGCTATTTTTCTATGCCAGAATTGTTTGTTGTTAATATTGGTGTTCTTGTACTGCTCTTAGTGATTCGAATTCATTCGCACATTTTCAATCACGATATGTAATCTTTTTACGGTCAGAAGCGACTATATTTTTAAATGGTTACTTATTTTATTAGAAACCGCTAGATTTTTTAAAATGTTAACAGTGAACCGTAGATGATTTAAAAGCATTTAGGTGGTCTCTGACCAAATTGGTAGCAGACTTGTCTAGGAGGATAGCAGCACTGGCTCAATACATCGGTAGGCCACCGCGAGCCATTGTAAGAGAGCTTTGTCCTTTTATCCTTTCAGGTGGTCTGAGGATCAAAAAGGCCTAAAATCGTAAACTATTGGTGGCGCAATTGAATGGTTCCCTCTTAGATCATAAAAGGCTTGCCCTTTGGTGTTCACAAAAAGAAATAAGAACCATTAAAAAGGTACCTTCAAAGTATAGAAAGTTTAAGCTGGTGGTTCTTGAAAAATATTGAAATGGTAAACATATGATCCTTCTGGTTAATGAAGGCCTTCAAATCTGCTCTGCGAGTCATAGAACTTCTTGCATTCATTTACCGGCACCCACGTAAAAATTAGAACTTTTGCGCTGTTGCCTGAGGATTACCCTCTTCTCTTTTTTTATAAATGTAGTTGAGTACAGTTCAAGTTATTTTTTCATAGATTCCTGAGATAGCCCGGCTAGAACATTTTCCTATGAATCGGCTTCACTACTCTTATGCTACCCACCCTGTGTCAGAATTACTCTTTCAGTATGTCAAAATAGAGGTGAGTGATAATATTCTCAATTGTTTGCATAAAATCTGGTGAACAATGTTCCAACGTCTCCACACATCATCATTTTCCTCCGATGAGAATTCGCAACCTAATCGTTGTGAAGAATTGTCCTTAAGATACAAAGCGTCCAGCAAACAACTAGGCTGTCCAAATAGCTTTGCATCGCTTGCAGATTTTATGGCTCACTTTTAATTAGAATATGAAGCCAATGACTGAAATAACATCAAAGAGATATCTGGGCATTTAATTTGTCTTTTTTCTATTCTATAATTAAATTCTTATCCGCCTCTTTTTAAATCCTACTCTTCAGTTATCCCCTTGACCGAGTTTGCAGATTTGATCACCTATAAAGTGTGTGTTATCAGATAACCCGGCTTAGCATGCCATAACGGGAGGTCAGGTCACTAAGACAATGAAGAAATGATGACGATTATTCCACTTCAGTGAACACGACTAGTAGTGTGGACGTTATAATCATGAAAATGATTTTGGTGAAGCATCAAAACCAATGTGCTCGCTGTTCATTGACCGGCAAATGAGTGAGCGACGCATTTAAATCCATTCGTTGAGTCATAGACGTTGTTGAATGTGTAGTTCGATGCCTACGATGCCCGTTGTCACAGTTCTTCACCTCTCTGGTACCACTTCGCTGGTTCCGGAAGGACCGAAAGGGATGGTGTATGGAGTTAAAGATGTTTTATTTCGTTGCATTTTAAGCCACTACGGTTTACTTACTCCATAAATTACATACTGTTTATTTACTTAAACGTCAAACAAGAATCAAAAAGAGTCAGCTGAGAGACGGGCGTTTAAACTACAGCCTCAGCTTAACTGGGTTCATTTCCGATTTGAGCTCCCCAGATTAATTCCGTTGATAGGTGATTGCTGATGACACTGATAAATAGAGCTAGCTGAGAGATAGGCGCAACGAAGAACCCTCACGGTGTCGTGGTGAACGCGTTAGTCCGGGAAAGGGTAATAGCGCGTTCATTCCCCACTGCAGATAACTGCGGTCCGGAGTTTTGCAAATATCTCAGCGTCATTGTGGTTGTATCAAAAATAATGCCCTGCTGTGAAAAAATGTAACAGGCAGTGAATAAAGAACTTAACAGAAATCAAAAACTCTGCAAATGCAACGAAACAAGTGTTATGACAACTTCACCAGTTGTTGACTATGAACAGATCGTTTCGGTGTAAGTAAATACACAATGGATACCAGATTTTGCCGTGTTCACACTACAAACAGATTATTTTGTTTTGCGCCACAGCCGTGAGGACGAATTTGAATATTTTAGTAAGAGTGCAGTATCACGAATGTTTATAAGAAATAGTTAGGCAGCCGTTACACACACCATTCCTCCAAAATGCTTAAATCAACGTTGCTGGCTTACTGTATAGCAGTTAGTGAATATTTTTCTGCTCACCATTTATCACTGATGAGAAAGTAGAACATTTCAGCTATTTCGATCCGTAGATTCTAGCGGTGGCTTTGAAATGCGTAAGTTCTTCTACTATTTTCTACATCATTGTTCACGGCACTTGAAAAATAATAGCTACATTACTTCACTGTTCAAGCATTTGGCTGCAAAGGAATGACTATGGGCGATCAAACAAGACAGGAAGCTCTTAATCTGATTAACAGAATCCGTTCGCAAGTTGCACTAGGACAATTTCAAGCACAGAACTTCTTGTCATCTGCAGAAAACATGAGCAAATTGGTGAGCTCTTTTTATTTTTGTGTTGAATGTTTGTTTTCTCCCAATGGTTTCCCGCCTCACCGTCGCCGCGAGGTGATCCCGGGTGTCGGACTGCGATGTACAACGGGAGGAGACGTCCCCCAGCAAGGTCTTCGGTGCTGAAGAGTCTGGCGTTTCCATCAGGAAGCATAACTTAGAATAAACCAATACCAGGATCCACCACCGTCCTGGTATCGAAGTCGCATGGTGGCAAACCTTCCTCTGGTCCACAAGGGCTGCGGCTGCCAGTCGTCGTGATGACCTGGGGCAGACTTTGGCAAAGCTGTCCTCGTGATTCCAGGGATCCACAATGGCTTAACCAGCAAATCTCCGAAAAATGATGACTATGCTGGACCTGCCGTCCCCCCGCACAACCAGTGAGGACGGGCCGTTCAAGTATCAAGTAAGTGAGCTGTATGTTTGCGATACAAAGGGCGGATAGCGCAGTGGTGGTGATGTACATCATCACGAGCATGGTTCCAGTTCGGTTCCGCTTCGGGCAACCAAGCCTCTCATCTTTCCGGGATGGTGAAATTGGTACCGAACTTGTTTGGGGAGGAATTACTCTCTGCAATCCAATTAGAAACGCTCCAGTTCGGTTATCTCAGGACTCCAGGGAGAATTGCTCGACCAGCATTCTAAGACGTTCAAGATGAAATGAAAATCTTCAAGCAGCAACCGAAGCCACACGTAAAAGTTGGAAGATCTTCGTGGGTAACGGATGCGAGGAAACGAATCGATTTTGAGAAGTGCTGGGATCCGCGCAGTAGACGTGAAAATGGGTCATATAAAATAGAAAAAGTGTTTACGATACTATAATTAGAGAGGTTAGCAAATCTTGCACAACAACGGTAAAATTAAACGAGTGTTCATCATTAAGGAATTTGACGGCATTCCAAATTCTGAATATTCCAGGAATGGGATTGTTATCTGGAGGCAATTGCTAAGACAGCTATAAACAACTGTCCTCAAACTCCACCACTTCCAGCGGTGACAAACGCCATAAATTACGCCGTGTGAGTTACTGTAGAAAATGTACGATTAAAATTGTTGTCAGATTTCATTGTTCAATTCTGTATCTCACACGTGGAACCAGTCGTCTGCTGTTTGGTGTAAGCAAATTATTGCCAGACTTGTTTAGCTAGAAAGTTCTAAGTTGAAGTTATCGACAGCTTCGTAAATCATTCCACAGGTCAATTTGTACTCCGTCTGTTCTACGATGCTTAAAAACGACAGCAGATCAAGGCCATTGAAATTTATGCACGTCTCATCTTTGCATTATTTTGCGTCACAAAGCTTTCTATTATGTGTTTTGTATTCCGTCGATAACTTGTCGAATACAGATGTTAAGTCTGGCTTGGTCCATTGAAAGATGTTCTCTCTAGTTATTGATTTACAAACAGCTTTATCAAAGACGAATTCATTTTGAGGTAAGAGAAAACGAGGAAGCGCGGAAATGCCCCTATTTGAACGCTGGAATCCAACATTTAGAGAGAGACTTAGCTATAATAAGATGAGATATCGTTGAAGAAAGTTCATAAAAGTGGTCGAATTCACAGAGCATGTTTTTCTTCAATGCAGCTCAGCAAATTTCTTGTTTTGAAGCAGTCGTCAAGATTTACTAGATTTTTATTTCACTGTTATTTCGGAATCTTCAAGGCGATTGCACAACTAAGATGATCACAATGACAAACGCTCTTATCATTTACCATTTTTTTGTTTTGAAGCTTATATTTCTTGTTCTCGAAATTTAGCTTCGGACCAGGAACACTGCCATCGACTTTTATCAACTCCATTGAAGCGGCTGTGTTGACCTGGACAGGAATAAGGAGCGAAGTTTGGCCTGTTACAAATATCTTCAATGGAAATCCAGCTTTGCGCAATTTTTCTAACGTAAGAAAATTTAACACGTCTGCTTGAAATCAAAACTCTTGTCCATTTTTAGCTGATTCGTTCAACGACAACTGCTGTCGGATGCGCCAGCACTGTGTGTTCTAATAGTGTAGCTTCTGCGTGTGTCTTCTCGCAACCGTAAGTGATGTTTAAAAAAAGTGTTTTGAAAAGGGCATAGAATTTCGTAGAACATTACTTCAGTGAAGTGGAAGTTGGTACATTGGTGTACACATCCGGAAATCCATGCCGAAATGACTGGGAATGCACATATTTTTTCCCAGTTTATTGTGAATCTGGATTATGCGTGAATGCTGAAAGACCAACACCGAGGACAACAACTATAGCAACAACAACTAGAAAAAGAAGCACAGATTGTTCCACCACGGCGTTTAGCTCGGCTTTCAGAGAGACGGCTTTGGGAATGCATAACAATTTCAGGTGTTTCCTTAAGCAACTAACAAAGCTTGTAATAAAATTGCCTAAGTAGGAGGAAGCAGAATATCATTTCAAGGAAGGTCCGAGTATTTAGATCGCTAGTAGCAACAGGTCGAGCCAGAAACGGTGAATATGCCAATGAAAACGCACCACCTGCTTCACGAATGGATTTGTTGGTAGGGTTTCGTGCTTCTTGCATTATCGTATCTCTTTTGATTTCCAATCTTGTGCATGTTATTTTTCCAGGAGTACGATTGCACGGCGGAGCAATATGCTCTTAACCACGTAAGTTCGTGTGATAGGCAACAGTCAGCAGCTGCTTCTCGACCTGGCTACCAAGAAAATATCCATATCCTCGAAACAACTGCAACTGACGCTTTGGGCGCTCTCCAGAATGTTAGTCATAAAAAGCCGTTTTCAAATATATACACATAAACGACAACGATTCAATATAAAGAAAGGTTCATAAGAGGATAGTGCAGACAGTTATGCTTGTGCGATTTGCAGTCCATTTTGCTGTTCTGATATATTTGCAAGTTACTTCCACTCTTCAATTTTGTATATTCAACTTCAATTGGTCTATCATTACCATAACAGGCAGTGGCAACGTGGAGCAACGAACTTGCTGCAAATGGCATTCCTTCGAACATGATTTATACGCTTCAAGTTAGTCAACGTACCGATAGAACAGTGACTAGAGTTACTAAGGTTTGTGTTATTGCTCGAAATTTGGTAGCTATGTTTATCAGCAGCAGCAGACATTGCCATCCACAATGGCATGAGCACATTTATTTTTTTAAGACACAGGAAACTTAGGCAATAATTTGGATCTTCAAAAAAATGGTTTATCCCTACACCTATCACTTTTCCAAAAGAAAAACAGAAAATTCAGAGTTTTAATTTTCCGGTCTCTTTATTCATATGACCTAAAAACTTCATATCTGAGCAAATTCTTTAAATTCTCACGGCTCTCACGTGAGGAATTTGCCTTCAAAAATGTCGTTGAGAACTGATCGAGGGTAAATGCTCCTAGAATACATAGATAGATTCACTGAAATGTGTCAAGTTATTCATAACAGTGAACGATAACATTTTAAAGGTCTGAGATTTTTTCCAAGACAGGTCCGAAATCAATTCTTCTCTTCCAAAGCAGGAGCTTGTTGTCTTGGGAGCTGGTCGAACCGACGTCTTTTGTTCGTCATTGCTCGGCATCTCCAGGAACATACTTCTTTTTGTTGTTGGAATACAAACTCACAACCTTATAAAAAAGTTATAAGTTCATGATGAATGTTGTTCATGATTTATTGCAGGTTATCTGGGGAACAAACAGAGATATTGGTTGTGCAACTCAAGTATGCAGTGGATTTTACTTCACCTCATGCATGTACCGATATCCGTAAGATTTAAACCCTTTCATGTTTCAATGGAATTGTGGAAATAGACGAGTTTCCTTTCAGAGTGAACGTCATCGGATGGAATATTTACACCATTGGTGCGGTGTGCAGTGCCTGCGCAGCCGATTTGTGGAATTGCAATGGAGCTGTTGGACTCTGTTACGGGTAAATGGGATAGTGCATGAGCGTTTGATAAAATTACGAATGCAATTCAAAACTCTTATCTCCATGAAATTTGTGAATAAATCTTTTGAGAGGGAAATTTATTCTCTGCTCTAAAATATGTCTGAACCAATTCCCTATTGCAATAATCAGATTATATAACTCTTTCAATGGTGATCATTTGCTAGGTGATACCTGGATGCCTGCTTTTAAGGGGAGATAGAATATTTTTTGTGCTTCTGTGTTGTTGGCCGGACCTTCCTCATGGACAGATCAGTTACCAGCTAATCGTGGAGCAAAGTGGAGTTTTGTGATGGAATATGTTGGCGAAATGTAGGTCGAAAGCGAACAATAATTGCACTCTGCAGGTGGAGTTCGATGAAATCCTGTAACAGCTATGCACGAACAACAGTAGTGACTCGTGCTGGAAGTCTTCAAGACCTATTCCGATCTCTTCAACAACAACGTTTGACATGCTTGGTACCAATTTTGGGTGGGTGAGTTATTAGTGCTCACTGGTGCTCCTTTGTGAACCCTACCCGCTATATCGTTAGGGGCAACGAATGGACTTACGGCAACAAAACCACCAAGCGCTGGAGCTACGTTGAGGAAGTTGTCAGATAGCTGGAATTCGTGTTCAATATCATTATTACTAAAAGTGAACGGAATTTGGATTTGTTGGATGGCCAAATTCAAAAATTGTCCAGCCTTGAGAGGCTGATGGGCAAATGTTCGATCACTGATGGAATAATTTCTAAACAATCCCTTTAAACTTGGCTGAAGTGCTATTCGGTAAACTACATGAGTGTGAAATCTAGTTGGGATTACTGAACTAATCGAAAATAAGGAATTAAGCGTTTCTGCACGCATACAGGCAATAGCAGTACAAAATAATTATGCAGGAAAAGCACAACAAACAATTAGTAGAACTAACAGTACGGTAGCTTTGAGCTTCTGAAAAGCGCAGATTAGGAAACGGGGAGCATATTACAGCATACGCAGGTATAGTCCAAGCAAAGAAATTACTATTGTAGAGGAGCTCTATAAAAAGGAGAGTGGTAACGAAATTGTAGTGTTTATATACTTCATCTATTGGGCACGTCCTTCACATCTTCGAATTTGGATCTCGGTAGAGGTCACATGGAACAAATGTAGAGCAATGGTCACAATGAGGAAAATGAAGTGAAAGAGTACAGGAGAAGTGAAATTCATGGTCATAGATGGAAGAGTTGTGGAATGCTGTTCCGCTGTTCTACTTTTTGTTTACTGCCAATAACGGAACAGCTAGCACAGCGGTGTTGATATCCGCCGTCACGAGCACGATGTTGGTTCGACCCTTCACTAGGTCTTTAAACGCTCCAAAGTCGGGAAATTAGAGCCAGATTCGTCCGGAGAAGAAACATTCCCTGCAGTCAATGAGGGGACGCTCTAGCCTGGCTATCACAGGACTTCAAGGGAAATCAACTAGAGCGGAATTCTACGGTACTCAAAATGAAGAAAAAATCCTCAAGCATGGACCGAAGATACACGTAAAAAGCTGGAAGTTTCGTTGATCATGGTTGCGAGGAAACGCATCGAATATGAGAAATACTGGAATCTCCACGCTAGACGTGATAGTCAGGCCATATAAAACAAAAAAATACTGCCTATAATTTTGTTTTAATGATGGGGTTGTAACGAAATGGTTAGCGGCGAAGTGTAGCGGTTCAGATTTATGCAGAATATTAGCCATGCAGATCTTTTAGTAGTCGCGGTTGATCTACCAGCCTCAAACTTGGGTAATTAAACCTTTAATACATAAATACAACACTGATTACATAATAGTAACGACAGAGAAGTAATGGTAGAGGAATGAGACAAGTTAGAGCTCTGAGGTGCTAAGGCCTGTAGTGAAGTGAGGCCAACAATGAGGCAATGGCATTCAAACATTATTATACCATTAATGCAATATTAGCAATAATAATGAGATTACAACGAAGTAGCCTTTGGTTAGCCGTAAGCAATACCGCGCCGCACCGCGTCTAACCGCGGCCGGAGCGGCGGCTGAGGGAGACAGTATGCTGGGGGCGGAGAGAGGAGACTGTATGCCGCGGAGAGGGAGACAGTATGCTGAGGTGGTGAGGGTCACAGACTGGCTATGTTTCGGCCAAGCTACGATTTCAAGATTATAGCGATGAGGAGCATTTTAGTGGATCGATGAGGACTGTAAGTTATATCAGCGTTGACGGTGCTATGAACAGTGAATGATGAGTCATCTACGGAACACAGTCAGGCGGCTGGTCGTGAATAACGCCATGTCAGCAACGTGAACTTTGATCATCGATGGGTGCCACCATTTCCTAAGGGTAAGGGCCAGTATGATGAATGGCTACAAAACTGATAAGCCTATAGCGGCTTACCAAAATACATGGCATAAGTTGGCCGCTTAGCGGCATTGTACGCATTGCGTACATTGTGGGAGGAATGGTACATACCATTGATGGCGTTGCAAACAGAACGCATTTGGAAACACCCGCCACTACTGGCATCGCACCGTAGACAAGCTGAGAAACGAGATACAATAATCTGCTGATTACTGAAGGATGAATGTGAATGTGTGAATGAATGTGATTGAATAAGAATAAATGAGTATGACTAAGAATGAGTTGAGGTGATTGAGGATGTGGTTGTGAGAAGCGGATTATCCGCGCTACCGATCGGGGGTAAGGACTAGGTGAAAAAGAATTTTTTATAAGCCGTTTTTAAAATAACATCTACGTTTACCAGTTATGGATACGTTGTAAAAAGTTTGGTGAAAAAGCTCTGTGCAGCAAAATGAACCGTTGTGGAGAAGTGCAGAATTTCCAACGCGCTGGTTCGAAGGTTGTGATAAATGGTAATATTTCGAAACCGACCTACCCTAAACCTCGGTGTGACTAATCAATATGTATTCTTTCTTGATAAATACGAGGTTGATAAATATAAAAAAAAGTTGTGATAAATGGTAATAATGGCTGAGTAAAGTAGGGTTAATTGAACGAAGTGGCAGCTTTATGTAGTTATGATTTTATCCTCGTTAAAATCCTCAATCTGGTTTAATTTGAAACTTTTGAGGCTTTTAAGTTTGTCTAAAGTTCTCAGGTAAGGCTCGCTCGAATGCTTCAACAAAAAGAAAGTTCACCACTCTTTTGCTTGACAGCAAAGAAATTTATGTGAACATAATTCAAAAAAGATAGTCATCATAAAAAAGTGTTCGTAGACAACTTGCACCACATAGAGACCAGTGACACCTGTGTGCTACATCGATCTCATAGAGCCCAAAAATTAGATGCGCTTGTGATTTATGCAACAAAACAGTCCTGCTTGGCAGCATGATGCATCTCTATCTACATTCTCATTGTGATCAACATAGGTCCGCTTAAGAGTAGTATCCGTCACGACTAAACCACATGGAGGCATTTATAAGGATTTTTAGAGGTTCTGTGGTTATAAGCTTAACTTGGCAACTCAACAAAATACTCAATATTGCGAATAAAGAAAAACCGGTTTTGCAAATCATTATATATGTGGCTACATATGCGACCTATACCGTTTATCATTTTGGCAAAACATAAGTTATAACCTCTTAAGGGCGCGTATGGGCCATCGGTCGGAGGCGCCGTGCAACACACACGTAGAATCGATTCCGGCCGATGGCCCACCTAGTGGTCCATTCTTCCGAGGTCGGTAAATTGGTGCCAGACTTGTCTGGGAGGATAGCAGCACTGGATCGACAGATTAGTAGGTCACCGAGAGTCATTGTAAAGGCTAGATATGGATTCAATCATCTCCGAACGATGCTTAATGAAGTCGAATTCATGGTGGTGCATGCCTCAAGAATTGATCAACGCCGAGAGCTTTATCCTTTCTATTTTATGACCTCTACGTTTTTTCTCTTGTGAAGGCACCTGCAAGTATCCAAAATTTCACGAAGATTCCGATCGCCCGACTAAGACGTAGAGCGTCATAAATATCCAAAAAGCTGTCGATCCCCGAAAACATTCTTTTAAGCGTGCATATATTACGCGATTTGAGAAAAATATCAATAGCGAAGGAGGAAGTGTTGGCAACTGGCTATGAACTTTTACTACTAAGTTTCTCAATTATTTGGCCTAGATGGTAATGCTATTTTCTTGTTGACTAGGTAGCTTGCATTCTGACAATTAGTGTGGACAAAACTACGCCACTGCGAAGATGAAGAGTGGTTTTTGGGTCTTCATACATCCGAATCTATTCGTTTTTGATAACCATGGCTGTAGGACACAGTTTCAATGGCAAAATAGCTGAATTTAGAAGCGATACTAATTGAGACAACATTTTCATCCCAGCTGGATACGAAACACTACAGTTGAAAAGATCCGAGCAGAGGTCGCCGAAGATATTTGTCATTGGTGTTTTTGACATCTGTTTTTCTGACATCTGTTTTTTATAGTTTAAGCCATCTAGGCCGCAATCGATTTACAGCATACAATGTTTTCAAGTACCGATACGTGAGATGGAATCGGCGGCCGATATTGCAAATCAATTCGCATTTTAAGAAGATGTTCATTTTCACTTCACGTTTAACCCAACATCTGTCATCATCGCTTGGATATTATCCTCGTTCTTAACCGGGAGAGGATCTCTCAATGTATTCAATCATCAGCCGAACATCCAGAGACTTACTCAGATACTTGCATAGACCGTCCTCACAGGTTGTGTAGGGTCCGGCGTAATCTCTATTTCTTTTGTAGTTTTGCTGGTTTAGCCACTGTAGTTTCCTGGAGTGCCAAGGTCAGCCAGGCCAAAGTCTGCTCTAGGTCGTCACCATAACAGGCAATTTGAGCAGAGGGAGATTTTCCACCATGCGACCAGTTTTATACCAAGACGGTGGTGGATTCTGGTAATGGTTTACGCTTCCTGATGGCAACACCGGCCTCGTTCCCAGATTGGGCAACCCTGCCAGGGTAATGAGTGCCTCCGCTGTACATCGCAGCTTCACACCCAGGAACACTTTCGAGCCATCATAAGGGGATAGACCTTTGGGAGGAAACATCCAAATATTAATTAAAATACTTTATAACTCCTCAAAAAATATACAATATAATTTTTAGCACAACCCATTTCCACATCTAAGGTGTGTATCCCAACACTTCTTGCATTCGTTTAGTTTTCTTGCATCCATTGTGCATAAAGGTCTTCATTTACAAAGGAACTCATACTGCTGTTGAGAATTTTTGTCTTCGTCATCATGAATTTCGTTGAATGCTAGTAAACCCGATTTTCTCTGGAGTTCTATAATAGGCTTGCCTGGACGTTTCACATAGATTTCGGAGAGATAGCTTATTCCAGGAAGGGTTCTAGTGTCGATATTCCAGAGCCATGAAAAGAGGGGCAGTTCGCACAGCGCGAGGTCGGACCAGCACTGTGTTGATCGCTACACCGTCACTATTTCCACTTAACAGTGGAAATTTACTAACTGGTGTCGACAGACCACCGAGAAGCTCAGCACTTTTGGAAATTATTTATTCTTATGTTGCATAAAAATAATCATGTGGCTGGATTCGCGATCCATCCAGGCGCTCCAATATTAGTTACCATGAGCAAAGCCCAATGGCAGTATTGCAATTGTTAGGACCGGCTGGACAGGCACTGCACACTGCTCCGATGCTATAGATGTTGCTTCCAACAACGTTCACCCTAAAGGAATATAAATCAATTTCCAGAATTCCACAAAGGCATTAAGGAAAAATTCTTACGGATTTCGGTACATGCACGAAGTGAAATAAAATCCTCTACAAAGCTGAGTTGCACAGCCAACATATCTGTTTGTTCCCCAGATAACCTGCAATGAATTTTAAAGTAGCACATTTCATCGGCAACTAATTACTTTATAAGACTGTGGGGTTCACTTTCAACACAAAAAAAACACGGTTGGACTTGGTTGAAGTTTTGGGTTTCGCTGAAAAAAGGTGACAACACTTGTCGGTCTGTGGCATACAAGACCATGCTGCAGTTCACATTTATGGTAACTTCAAGAGATTTGATGTAGTAGTGCTGTGAAGGACTTTAGTGACTGATGTTGCTACGTATGTGAATTAAGATTTTCAAACAGCAACTCAAACCTTGGAAACCCTGGTCACTGTCCTGTGTTGACGCTGGTTAACATTAGCGGAAAATGCCATGTTCGAAGGGATACCATTTGATGTAAGTTCGCTGGTAAACGTTGAAATTGCCTGAGTAGAAGAAAATAAAGAATAGATAGTTAAACACATAAGATTACATGTATTGGAAGCTTTTAATGTACAACAATCTTCAGCACCTTCTTAATTCATTCGCTCAATAGGAATCATGTAATGCGAAAACAGTGGCAGCTAACAACCTTAAAATCTTGGAGACGACGCCTAATTTCGGGTTTGTTGCAAACTGAAAAATGTCTGATTTTCAGTTTCTATGCAGTTACTGATTTCTCCAAAGTAAACAATGATTTTTTTTGGTGCAAGAGGGCTTCGTTGGTCGTGAACATTAATGGATTATTGGAAGGAATTTGCACTGTTCTATAACTATGAATTTATATGTATGCTGTCATTTACCATATGTTACTACGGCTCGTCATACCAATAAATTACTGTAACATCTGGAAGTGATTTGCAACAAATCGGTCTCTTCTTACTGAACGGCGCTTGTGGCGCAGTGGTTGGAGGCGTTACGGCGACACACACGTGAAATCGATCCGCTCGCTCAAGGCTCATTAAGCCTTCCATTTCTTCAGGGTCAGCAAATTGGTACCAGTCTTATCTGGGAGGATAGCAGCACTGGCTCGATACATCGGTAGGCCACCGCGAGTTATTGCAAAGGCCAGATATGCGCATTCAATCACCTCCAACGACTAATGAAGTCGAATACATGGCGCATCCTTTAGGGGTTGATCAACGTGGAAAGCTTTACCCTTTTTATCAGTCTCTACTTTAGCCTTTTTTCGCATTTGCACGCTCTATGAGATAGCTATCGTTCGCTTCAACAATTATGATTGAAATAATAATCGACTAGCGCCCAAATTTCTCTTCAGTAACCTGGTTTAGGGAAATGGCTTTCTGCGTATTTCTGGATGTCGAAAAAAACCCTGCCAAGTCCCAGCACAATATCTGATTTAAAAAACTGTCAATTAATGAGAAAAATTATGAAAAATAGTTCTGTGCTTTAAAATAAACTACGAAGGCTATAAGTCTCTTACTTTCCACTCCCGCAGAACCATTATGACAACTATAGGTGCCACTCGTCACGAGAGCGTATCGGCATATCTCAGCTAAGTGCTATTAGTTGGAATAAAAACCATTCGCGTATTTATATCAACGCTACATTGCACTACATATCTTTGCTTACAGAATAAAGTTCTCTTGTTTTACCCTAATGAAGTGCTGGTCTTCTAAAGTTCACTTCATCTATTTATTTTATTTTATTATAGTAGAGCTCATATTTCGAATATTAAAGCAGATGAACAAGTGGAATGCTGTCCAGAACGACAAGATAATGTTGCTTAATGTATCGTTTACACCTGTAGTCAGGCTTTTCCGTTAGAAACTTCTAAAACCTCAAACTCCATTTTTTTCATTATCAACGTTTTGAAGGTCCTTATTTCACACATATTTAACTTTGAAAAGAGGTTGTATGAAAACTGTACATGAAATTAGCGCGATAGAGTAAAGACCGTTCTGTGAATACATAAAATTTCGAACTCTGGAATATTTCAGTGATGGAGAAATTACCACCAGTTATCAGAAAAACTAGCTCCTTGGCGTAAGAGCTAGGAAACATCTCTAAGAATCGGTTTCCATTTAATATCGGCATAAACAGCTGGGAAACACTCTGAATATTGAGGGCCATTGTGTAGTCTTCAATGCAGCTTTGAAAATAGATATTGATCACTTACATTTTGGAGAGCACCCAAAGTATTAGTAGAAGTTGTTTGAAGGATGTGGATGTTTTCTTGGTAACCAGGACGATAAGCAGCCGGTGATTGTTTTCTATCACACAAACATACGTGCCTAAGAGCATACCGCTCGGCAACGCAGTCATATTCCTGAAAAGCACTGTGTACGAAACTAAATGCAAAAAACATACGATAATGGGACAAGAACGAAACCTTACCATCAAGTCCATTCGTGATGACGATGGTGCAAATTCGCCGGGATGTTCAGCGTTTGCTGCTCTACCTCTTGCAACTAGTGATCTAAACACGCACACTTTCCTTGCTGTGAGATTCTGATTAGCCAGTTGTGTTTCTTTCATAAGGGACTCTTAGTCAAACATTTTAGCCGTATTTTTCGAATAAAAAACCTGAAATTGTTGTGCATTCCCAACGCCGTTTCTCTGAAAGACGAGCTAAATGTCATGCTTTTACAGTATATTCTTTTTCTGCTCGTTGTTGTTGTTTTTGTCCGTGCAGTTGTTGTTCTCACTGATGTTGTTCTTCTCGATGATGTTGCCGTCGATGGTCCATTCGAGGTTGTAGTCCATGGTTCAGGCGTGATTGTTATCCATGGTTCACACGATATAATTGTCGACGGATCATCCAACGCTGCTATCCATGGGGAAATCGATGTGTTTTGTCCACTGGAAAGTCCAAGCAGCAATAGCTAGAATATGTTGGTTCATAGTCTGGTACAAATCATAAGCAGGCAAACGTTCACTTACCGCACAGCAGTTAACCAGAATCGGTCCGTGGAACATTCTGGAAGACTGACGACGTAACAGCTGCTGATTCGTTGCTTATAAACGGATGTCGCGCTGCCCGTTTTCAAAAATATTCAAACTCAGTCTCACAGTAGTGACTGGAAGCAAAAATAATCTACTTATAGCGCAAATCTGGCGAATTTTTACAGCTTACCGAGTTTTGAATTTTAATGATTTTTGACAGTATATTTTATTGGTTTATATAGGATTCGATCTGAGTTTAAAAAAGAATGACTTTAGAAAAAGGACCTTAAAAGTCACAAGCACACACAGAAATGATGTTTCCGATAAATAAATAACTGCTTTCAAGTCTTCCTCTAACTCGAGTTGTAGCATTCGTCGGTCGAATTTTTGAGACTCTTCAGGAACAAAATGTGAAGGAGAAGATACTGTCTTAAATATTAAAAAAAATGCTCTCGATTTTCATTCTTCCTCAGCCTTATAAATTAGTTAAACTCACAAGAAAAAAATCGGCAACCATCATCAATACTAACCAGATATTAACGCAATCGGCTAAAAGTGTAAAGCTTCTTAAATTCGTTTTGACGAACTGTCGCGCCGCCGATGTTACATCAATCTGGTGATAGAGCTTTTTCTTTATCAGACCACATTTAGATGTGCCGAAAAACCATTCATTCTTAAGTAAACGTTATCTTCTCAGGCACTCATTCGAAATCCAATTTGCGTTTTCAAATTCAAAACACAAATCTCCTTACTTTTTTCCATTTTCCAACAGAAGAACATGCGTGAGCCCCTCCATTGTTCCGGGACCTTCTTCTTTTCACAGTTTCCGCACAATTTTCTTAACAGAACTATCTTGCTAATACAACCACAGTATTGCTGAGATATTTGCAAAACTCCGAGCTGCAGTTGTCTAGCTGAGAGACAGGCGAAACGAAGGACCCGCATGGTGTGTTGGTGAGCGCGTTACTCCCCAGAAAGGACAATAGCGCGTTCGTTCCCAACCGCAGACACCTGCGGTCCGGAGTTTTGCAAATATTTCAGCAATATTGTAGCTGTATTTTGCTTAATACCCTGCCATAAAAATTATAGAAGGGAGAAAATAAAAAGTCAACATGGTATCCTGCTAATAATTCCGCGTTTAGATAGGAGTGCTAGATATCATTTCTTCTGTGGTGCTGATAGCTACATATATTCACAACGATCTATCCACAAACTGATACTTTTTGCTGTTTACAAGACTTTGTACGCCCATAAAGTTTTATTCGTATCTTTGTTGAGCAAACGCGAGGTGTTATTATTCTTTGTTCACGATTAAGCTGACGTTTCGGCGGATTTCGCCTTCCTCAGAGCCGCTTTCTATGAGGCTTCCACTAAGTATGTCACGTAGAGACCAACAAACCACCAACAGACCATATGGCTTTAGTTATTCTTTACAATAAGCATATTATGCAGTTGATGTGTTTCACTGCCGGCGTGTAAAATATTTTTCACTCGGAGATCCAGCGGTTTTTTTCAGGAGCTCGTTATTTCCTGTTAAGACACGATGTGAGCATTCTAAGGTTCTAAAAGGTAAACTTTTTACAAAATAATCTTTTAGTCCTTTTTGACTTTCCAATTTTTTTATGATGGAGCACTGTATGAAATAGAACTGCAAGGATGTTGAGACATAAGCAAAACTCGGGACAACAGGAGCGCTTAGAACTCGTCTTTAGAACGGAACGCAGTGCCATCAACTACACAGACCGAGATCTTCTCTTTGCATTTCTCTTAGTCAGTTTTTTACTCCAACGATGCTGTGAGCAATCACCCATTAATCACGATGGTCTGGATACACAAATTGGTATTGAACCCAGTTAAGTTGAAGCTGCAGTTGACTGCCGGTTGATGTGGGGAACAACACGTCAGCTTCCAGTAAGGGTAATCACGAGCTCACAGTCTAGCTAAGGTCTCGAGTTTTGCTCACACCGCGCAGCATCCTCTTCGTTATATTACGAAGCATTTGGTGCTCTTAAGGGGCAGCCTTAGTTTCTTCCAGATTTGAAGTGCGCAGCTGTGAGCATACTCATCTATATCATGAGAATACGAAACTCTGCAAAAAAAGTGACAAAACAAAATACTAAGCAAAGACAAATACAGCAACGGTCAAAGTTTTACGATATAGATGAGCTTCTACAAAATCCACTGTGACTTTATTATTCATGAAACAAGGGTGTATATTGTATCAAACTTATTCCAGGGCAATCTCTACAAACCTTTTCATCAAGGATACCGAAGATGCTTTCAGAACAACTCTCGCATCTCAATTTCTCATGCTGAATACCTCAGTTGCTACGAATCCTACAATACGTCATGCTCAAGGTTATAAATATCTGAACTAAATGACCAGGCTTTTTAAAGGATCTGAAATTAGGAAGGGAACTTGTACGGCGCTAACTTGTGAAAAAATTGATAGTCGACATCACATATGCTCCACATCGGACACTTGACTGTTAAGCGAAAACCATTGTATCCATTCTAACAGGCGATTCAAGTGTTTTTAGAACCTCATCCACTGCTAAGGGCGCATGTGGCGCAGTGATTGGAGGCGCCACTACGCCACACACGTGGAAACGTTCCCCGCGCCCATGGCCCACTAAGCCTTCCAACCTTCCAGAGTCGGCAAACCGGTACCAGACTTGTCTGAGAGAGTAGCAGCACTGACTCGATACTTCGGTAAGTCACTGCGAGTCACTGTAAAGGCCAGATATGCGTTCATTCGCCTCCAAACGATGTTTAATGAAGTTGAATGCATCTCTCAGGGCTTGACCAACGACTAGAGCTTCGTCTTTTTTTATTTTATCTACTGATGATTATTATATTCCAAAAACTTTGCCAGTTTTTAATAAAATACAGCACGCTGTCAAAATTTACTCGGCATGCAATTTAAGTAGATTATTTCCATTCCGATCAAAAGTTGTGAAATTGGAATTTAAATCACTCAGAAGACTTCAACAACGCCACCTACAGCAAACGCTTCGGCATCCATTGGAAATCCAATTACTACTGTAATATTTAAAGCTAAATAAGCGATTTCCTGGAACGTCAGCAGTGAGTGAACGCTTTTTTGACTACATATTCCTGTCAATACTTTAGTAGATTCCTATGAAGCATAGGAGTACAGTAATTGAGGTATCCTTCAATACACACGTGGTCGTTGGTTAGCTTTGGAGTCCGAGGCCCACCAATTCTTTCATATCTACAGGCTTCGTAAATTAGGACCAAACTAGTCTGGAAGGATTGCAGCACTGCTTTGACACATCAGTAGGCTGCCACAACTATTCATGTTGGCCAAATATGGATTAAATCATCTCGAACGGTGCTTGGTGAAGGCGAATAGGAGACGTTTTTCTCAGGAATTGATCAACATCGAATTTGTCATCGTTTTCATTCCATAAAGTTTAAGAGGTTTCTGATTTTCCAAAGATGCGGTCATAAATAGCATTTCTCATGCTTTTGCAGCTTAGTCTTCAAAGTAGCGAGCTTGGTGAACAGGTGTTTTAAAACCTGTTTTCATCATTTTTGAAAGCAGTGGATTCTCGAAGATGTCTTTTTAACAAATTTCTAGATATCCCAGTCCGACTATGTGAAGTACACTTGAGTTCGAAAAATTTTAGAAGCAGAAATTTCCGTCAAATGTAACGCTTCGTGAGTTTTCTCACATTTCAGCGTTTAATCCTCAAAACACTTCACCTTAAATGGTTAGTGATTTAGCAAACGCACCCACTCTCGTTTGTCTGTATTTAGCGGAAATCTAGTGGAAAACTTTTACAGCGTATTTTCAATCCTAATGCCTTCCTATTGTGTTAGAGTAGCACCTAATGTATTCTATCAATGCCTTGGAACCACTAGTGCCGGGTTCTTCAGAGGAAAGGAAATTCAATAAGGTGGAAGCACTGTATTTCCATGTTAGCTCAAATAAATGTTTATATTAATGTCATTCAGCAATTTTTTTCCTAATGCTCATTAGGTGACTTCCTTGTGTTAATTAAACTATGGAAAAGTCTTCAATCAACAAAACACTAATACTCCAACTATCTTCAGGTATGGAGGGACTGGTATTATATACCGAAGCCTTACGTGGTCCCCTCTAACGTTATCTTGAATTTGAGTTCGTATTTATGCCTTCTATGCGGAGATGTCGGCGTTAGGTGACTGCGCGTAGGCTATAACTTTTTTACAAGACCCGTTTTCAAATCTCATGTGCGGGTCCTTGTACTTCTAGCATTCGAGTTTTTCCTTCGAATTCATCAAATAAGAAAGTCTTCGCTCATTTGCTTATAGGTTTGTTGCTACTATAGAGCTACTGGTCTTCGTTATGAATGTCGGTGAGTACTGGTCTAAACGGATCTCCTGTTGACTCCTGGGATGGCCGTTCTAAAGCGTCTACACAGTTGAAATGAAGGGGGTTATGTATTTCTTGACAAGTATGGTACCAATTCACCGATTCCGGAAAAATCAGACGGATTCGTTGGCTTCCTTTGCCCTTCCAACCTCTTAGCAGCGGAGAATTTTTATTCCTGGCTTTTTGCCAGCATAAAGTTGATGAAACCAAGATAGTGGTAAACGAAAATGAACTAGAGGGAAAGAAGAAGAAAGATCGATTAGACCACTGGAGCGTTACTGATAGGAACTCGAGGTGCACCTTTGAACAAACATGTCTAATAATCTTCTTCGTATTTTTGTTGAGCAAACGCGAGGTGTTATTATTCTTTGTTCACGATTAAGCTGACGTTTCGGCGGATTTCGCCTTCCTCAGAGCCTGGAAAGGTCAAGTTGATAGCAATCTACTCGGCCAGACGCCTCCATGAACCGCAGGGAAGAATGCCTCATTATCACGCGTGATATAGAGCAGTATATAAAACTGCTTTTCTGATATGAGGGGCACATTATACTTCCACGTGATTTCTGTGCGGTTGGTCTCTACGTGACTACACGACGTATGCGGTACCAGAGGACAGTCACCGAGTAATGGACGCCGAATTGCGAATACTACG